GTGGGACTCCACAGGTCAGGGCCATATGATCTGAGACACAGTTTCCAATCTCCACAAAGTACTTCCTGTCCTCAAGGTAAGACCTAAACCAACTTAGGGCGGTGCCAGCGACTCCAACCCAGTCCTCTAATCTCTGTAAGAGGATCTCATGGTCGACAGTGTCAAAGGCAGCACTTAGATCTAACAGGATTAAGATTGAGACTTTGCCTGCATCAGTGTTCAGCTGGATATCGTTTGTAACCTTAACGAGAGCAGTCTCAGTGCTGTGGTGGGGTCTAAAGCCGGACTGAAACATATCAAATGAGTTGTTGATTATAAGAAATCTAGTAAGCTGTAGGTAGACAACTTTCTCAAGGACTTTCCCCATAAATGGCAGATTTGAGATGGGACGATAGTTGTTAAGTACCGTAGCATCGAGACTGCTCTTTTTTAGCAGGGGCCTGATGACTGCAGTTTTCAGGGCCTTTGGGAATATTCCAGAATGAAGGGACATGTTTACTATCTGTGTGAGTGAAGGTAACAGACTGCTCAGAACAGACTTCAGAAATCTAGTGGGTAGTGCATCCAAGCTGCATGTGGAGGAGCTCAAACTGGAGATTATCTCTTGGACAGTTTTATCATTTACAGGTGCAAAGTGAGTTAGCTCAGAGAGCCTTGCTGGCTGTTGGATGGTTGTCTGTGGATTGGAGACAATGGCGTTTTTGATGCCTTGAACCTTGTCATTGAAAAAATTAGCAAACTCATTGCATTTACGTTTGGAAGTAAGCTCTAATGGCATTTGAACAGGGGGGTTTGTTAATCTATTAACTGTTGAGAACAGAACACGCAGATTGTTGCTGCAGCCTTCAATCATTTCAGAAAAATACCTTTCTCTCGTACTACGTAGCACCCGGTTAAACTCGCACAACTTATCTTTGAAGATCTCGTAATCAACCTGGGTCTGAGTCTGCTTTAGCCCACGGCGCCTTCTGCTTATTTTTCACTATTTTAACCTTAACAGGGGCAACGGTATCCAGAACATTCAAAACACTAGAGGTGACAGAGTTAAACAGTTCATCTACAGTAGAATACGATGCATTCTCAAAGTTTATCATTCCCATAAATAGTTCACTCGTATTTTCATTTATGCGCCTTCTTCGAACAGTTGCAGAGTCCACTGGTGGTTTGTTAGTGAAACACATGTCAAAAAAAACACAGAAATGATCCGAAAGAGCAACATCGACCACGTTTACATTTGAAATATTCACCCCCTTTGTAACTAACAGATCTAGAGTGTGCCCTCTGCTGTGGGTGGGGCCACTTACGTGCTGAGTGAGATCAAAGGATTCAAGTACAGAACTCAGCTCATTTGCATTTCTGTCATCAACATTATCCACATGAATATTAAAATCACCTGTAATAACCAAACTATCAAAATCTGTGCATACAACTGAAAGCAACTCGGTGAAATTATCAATAAAACTGTGATATGACTGCGGTGGCTTGTATAGGACAATGAAGAGTATTGGAGGAGATTGTTTTTGTTGTATTTTAAAAGACACATATTCAAATGACAAAAACTTCCCAAGAGACATTCTATGGGAGACAAAGTGGTCTCTAAAAATGGCAGCTAAGCCTCCTCCTTTTTTGTTTTCCCGTATTTCAGATTCAAACTTGAAATTTGGTGGTGATGCTTCTATTAAAACTGCATTTCCTGAATTTTGGTCATGAACATAAGATCAAGATTATGAGAACAAATAAAATTAGTGATTAAAAAAGACTTGTTACAAAGAGATCTGACATTAAGCGTAGCAAGTTTCAAAGTTTCAGTATCAGCGGTTGCGGTCGGCTGATTCTTACACGGAACAAGAATTAGATTTTCCAGATTAGACTGATGAACTCCAGATGTTTTTCTGTAATGTATTCTTTGCGTTATCACTAAGGGAATGGCACAGGTGGCTTCATGACAGGGCCCCAGCCGGGTCTCTCCTCTAACTAGACTGCCAGTGGCTGCGAAGCAGAGACCCTGTGCATCCTAGTGTTTAGAGAAAAGAGGGGAAGGGGAAGGCAGGGGAGGAGGATGGAGAGGTGGGTGGCTTTTGGGTGTTGAACGTGGGGGGCAGGGAGGTGGAGGGGTTTTTGGTGATGGGTTAGGGCCGGGGTGGGCTGAGGCAGAGGTTTTGGGTGTTGAACGAGGGGGAAGTGGGGGTGGAATGGTCATGAGGTTAGGGGAGGGACTGGCTGAGGTGGTTTTTGTAGGTGAATTGGAAACCCTAGGTGGTTTTGGAGGTACATATGGGGAGTGGTTTAGAATGTTGGACAGGACTCTAGATCTAGCTAATATGGGTGTGAGAGGAATAGTCTTCATCGCCGATTTTATTAGCCCTGCAGAGTGTTCAGGTAGGTCTAACAGTGAAGGCGGGGATGAAAAACAAAGGGAGGTGTCCCCATTCTCTCTTGATGGAGTGGACGTGGCAGGGGGGACCCAAGACAGGTCCATGGGAGGTGGCGAGGGAGTCTTTGATGGAGGGGCAGGTGGTTGAGGAAACCCCAGCACAGGCCTGTCTGCTGTAGGCTGGGGTGAGGATGGGGGCTTCAGAGGCGCTGTAGATGAAGAAGGCGTGGCTGCTTTGGAGCAGGCCGGGGATGAGGATGTTGGTGGTGGTGGTCGTGCAGCTGGTGCTGCTACTGGTGATGATGCAGCTGCTGCTGGTGATGATGCAGCTGCTTCTGATGACAGTGGAGGTGTTGAGATCCTTTGAGGCGGTGATGGTGTTGAGATCCTTCGAGGTGGTGGTGGTGTTGATATCCTTCGAGGTGGTGGTGGTGTTGAGATCCTTTGAGGCGGTGATGGTGTTGAGATCCTTCGAGGTGGTGGTGGTGTTGAGATCCTTCGAGGTGGTGGTGGTGTTGAGATCCTTCGAGGTGGTGGAGGTGTTGAGATCCTTCGAGGTGGTGGTGGTGTTGAGATCCTTCGAGGTGGTGGAGGTGCAGAGACTTTTGGAGTTGGCTTCCTCCCTTTCGATGGCTGCACGCGCTGCGCAGGCTGAGGTCTCAGGGCAAAAGAAAGGTTATCCATCAACACTTTTACTCCGTAAGTGTTCAGATGTGGCCCTTTCCCTTCAAAAAGCTCATGCCTATTCCAGAACAGATTAAAATTCTCAATGAAGGCAAGTCCTCTGCGTGAACATTCGTTGAGTAGGAAAGTATTTAGCTGATACAGACGACTGAATTTCATTTGCTTCCCGTCCACATTTGGTAGTGGGCCACTGATAACGATTGTTGCGTCCATTTTAGCAAGGTCGTCCAATAAGAGAGAGTAATCCCGTTTCAACTTTTCACTTGTGTTGTCATAGACGTCTACTGCCCCCACGTGGATCAACAATCTTTTTACCCCGCCGGTCTCAGACAGAAGCCCCGGAGCCAACCGCCTTATCTCATCCACTTTGGCAGAGTGTACTGAGTGAACCTTGAGATTACGCATGTTGAGAACGGAACTGAAAACCCTGCACTACTATTGACACTGTTTCTTAATTGCCAATTTTTATAATATATCCTGCATTTAACATGTTTGCACATTTCTTTCTTTTTGCACAATCTTGAGTGCCAAATGTGACATGTAAATTTCTCTTGTGTGAGATCAATAAAGTCTATCTTATCTTATCTTATCTTAGGTCACGTGCCTCATGCAGAAAGTTTTTTATGGCCACTTGTGGCCTGCAAGTTGGGGCCTGATTTATACTTGGATGGGAAGGTTGGAAAGCTGTGCCTGGAGTGCAAACTGTTGTGGCTATAATCAAGAAAGATCCAGAGTTGCAGTTGCAGAGTATATGTACCTTTTGTGTGTGTGTGCGTGTGTGTGTACTTTGCAACTGTCTCTTTGAAAGATGCTACATTACCCAGGCCATTAAAATTCAGTGGCATTTTTCTTGTGAGTTTGTTTTGTTATCCTAAACCTGCATAACTACGGCATAAATCAACTTTGTCTTATAATGAACCTTTCCAAAATGTAGTTAACTCCTGAATACACTCCATTGTGTGTTATTCCTAGGCAGAGCAGTGTCGAAGTGATGTAACACAGTGAAACACAATAATAACCTGACAGAGGCAATCATGGCTCTTCCACTTCCTGTCTTTCTCCACAATGGCGTTCCTGGAAAAACTCATTTCCTCAGTCACAGAGATTTCATTAGCGCCGTCTATTGTCTGAACACAAACTATTCTCTACTTTACACAGGAGTGAGGGTCGAACGCTATACACCCAGCAACCGCACACACAAACATCCACACTAATTGATACAACTGTACACACATTATTTTTGTCCTGTCGGGATGTGTTAAAAACTAATCTATTTGTCAGCTGTATAATTGTATTGGATTTAGTTAATTTATACCTTTTGTGCAGTTGAAAATCCGATTTCCCAATCTGTGAACAAAAGAGATTGAACATGGACAGAGCTACGAAAAGTATTATCTCCTCATACTTTAACTTTGTTCTGCTGAGACCAGGAACATGGGAAGTCCTCTGACTGATGTCTGCACTGTCACTATTCAGCAAATCAAGAGTGGGTGCCGTGAGACTTATCCATTGGCATTTAGAACATCTATGGAGGCTATTGATTGATTTGGATGAAGAAGGGGTCAGTTTAAAGAAATTGACAGAGACAAAAATATGCATAGATCCCATTGCCCATTGTACAAAGCTCTCTTCTTTTTTTACATTATGAAGGCATATTGACCTAATAATTACATGTTGTTTTAGTTTTAAAAAATGTGATTTGAACAATAAAGTACGAGAAACGAGAAAAGCACTTTTCCATTCCCTTAAAAGATCCTCATCATCATCTAATTATTTGTTCCTTTTTCCATATGTTTAGATTAATACTACTTCAGTTGACTCCTCACTGTGTTTGACATCTTCAAATACTTTTTACCCTTGATAATTGCATATATTTAAGCGTTGTCTTAGTGTGTGGATTATTAAGTCAGTGCTATCATTTCATTTGTGTGTTTCCTCTCAGGATGATTCAGTAATTCATCATATGGCTGCTAAAGCGGTTGAGAACATTGCTACAGTGATCCCTGGCCCAGCCCACTGCCTGGTGACCTCTGACACAGGCCCCGCCCTGTGGTACCTGTTCACCCACTCCACTGTGGAGGCAGTCAGAGTCACTGCCATATCTGTAAGTACTAAGTGTCGTGATGGTTGCAGGGTCTTGTACCCAGTGAGTGGAGTGAAAGAATATGTTAACATTTGTAAATTCAATGTAGGGCTGTTTAAACAAATGGCTTTGGATGGGACATATACAGTTAGCAATTATAATATCAATATATAAATGAATACATTATCAGCATATTGTGATATTATTATTTATTATTAATCTTTATTAAGGACACTATACAATACGGTCCACAGTTAAAAGAAAATACCCAGTGATTCCATGTGTTCGTGTTTGACAAGTGTACTGCCCCATTAAAACTCCCCACCTGCCGCTGCCCCCGTACGGAGTTTTAAACATACTGCCATGTGATTCTTCTAGTGTTTAATAATCAGTATAAAACCAATTACATTTATGTGTTTCTCTGTGAATTTATTTTAGAAGCCATAACATCTCCATGCTGAAGAGTTGGTGCAGAGCAAACCCTCCAAGCAAATAAAAACGCAATGCACTTTTACCAATTTCCCCCTTCCCAGCAACGAAGCAAATAATCTGTACTCCTTTTACTCTCCAATGACATGTGTTTATGGATATGCCATGCCTAATTTGTAAAAGTAAATTAAAGTTCATTATTTTTCTGTTTTATTTTATTTATATATTTATATTTATTTGTGTGTGTGTGTGTGTCTTTCTGTCTCTGTCTGTCTGTCTGTGTGTGTCTGTCTCTGTCCAGGCCCTCTGCCGGCTCACGCGGGTCGCCCCTGCAGTCTTCTGTGCAGTGATTGACGTGTGTGGCCCTGCAGTTATATTGGAGGCAGTGGGTGGGGCAGGAGCCAGGGTCCAGCAGCACCTCCTGACTGCTCTGACCACGGCTCTGCTCACAACCAAAACATACACCCACCGCATCACTCAGAGCCAGGTATGAGTCTGACTGAGGAGCAGCTCTGTAATTTAATTAAATGACCCATCTCAGAGTATTACAAAAATTGAGGGGGAAAAAGCAATCGTCTACTCCAAACTGTAATGAAAAATGTAATCCTGGGGCTATGACCTACTATTCCATTTAGATTCATGAAAAGCACTGCTCCAGCATCTGGCCTAATCTGCGTCTACAATGAAATTCAAATTTGTCTATGGTCTTTTTTGTCTCATAGTTAGACTTTTGCTTGCAGTTTTTTTTTAGCTCAGGTTATTTTACTACTAAGGATATCTCTTCAACTTTGAAGAAACTACCTGCAAATTACAACAACATAGAATGCACTCTTCACTGTACTTCCTCTGTCACTGCAGGTTATGCGTGTCTCTCCAGCACAAGTCATGAACTATTGCTGAACCTCGCCATGGCTAATTTGACAGACATTGTTAATTTATATATGTTTTAATCAGTCTATCCATGGAAAACGGTCTGCAGAAAACTGCTAATCTTAGAAATGCACCGGGGCTGAAATTGATTTATGGGCTTTTAACTATGAGTCTAGCATTGGTAATTGACTCTCAACTGAATTTATTTGCATTGAGCATTTCCAATTTAACACCGGAATACAAACTTAGTACTTCAACTCTACTCTAATTATATACTGATATGCATCCCCCCCTCCCCTGGCACAAAGACAGACAGTCCGCAAGTTTGTTTACACAAAACTCAGTCTGTTAGTGCGTGTCTCCTACCGTGCATGTGTGTCTGTGTACATGCGCCCGTGCTAATTTGTATACTATGTCAGTATCTGGGCTAATTGGCTAAATCAACACACTGCAGCCTTCTATTTCAGCAAAGCATTATGGGTAGTGGGGAGGGACTTATCAGCGAGACACACACTACTGGGCTTTGAAATTAATTAACTTGGTGTGTTGCTTCATAAACACACAATTTCACATTCTCGCGCACTCGCTCTCCCCCTTCGACACACACGCACACCATCAGTGGAGTGTGCTGCTGCTGCTGCTGGTGATAATAGCAATGGTAATGAATGCTGCCCAGTCCAAACATTTTATACACCAGTTTCTGCTGAGTGAGTGCATGTTTAAAACTGCTGTAGGCTTATAAATTCAACAGTGTGTTCTTGTGTTGATGACTCGTTCTCTTCCTGTCTGAGCTAATTAAGTTTTATTCTGCACAGATTTAAGGTGTGTGTTTTTTTTTTAAATCACCGCAGTCCTATCACCAAAGAATTAAAAGAGATTTACAATCCATATTACATTTTCCATTATTTCTGTTTTTAGATCCATTCACACTAAAATCAGGACCTTCACTTCTATCTAAAAGCTCCTGTCTCAGTCCTGAAATAGTATGATGTCATTGTACTGCTATGACATCACACTCTGCGTCTTAAAACAAAAGTAGTGCCGATGGTAGTTTCTCAACTGAAATGACTTCATTACAATCACATGTGTTTGGAGCCGGTGATTTTCAAATTTTCAAATCACATTTTTAATGGCCAAAAATAATGCATAATATATTTTTTTCAACTCAATGTCAAAGTAGAACCTGGCCTCCTCCCCCTTTCCCTAACCCAATGACCCCTGAAAGGTTGGCTATCATTGATCCTTGGCAAAGAAATCTGATCCTGAACTCTAAATGGTTACATCCAATAAATGATATTAGCACTATGACTAATGCCAAATATTTAATCTAGTATGTTATTAAGACTAATGATTAAAAACGGTCATTTACTTTTATAGACTCTATGTGACAATTCTAAAAGTATAAATTCTAAATTACAGTTCAGGAGGGTGATCATAACGTCACAGTATTTCATTACGTTCTCATATACAAATCCTATTTGTACGCTTCCCTGTTGGCAGGGAAACCTCTTTTTTATTACCTTTTCAAAATTATTTTCCAGAACCTGGTAGTGAAGGCTCTCCGCTGCCTTGAGAGTCCATCCACAGTGACCCGAGCCAAAGCATCACTGCTGTTGCTGCTGTTACTCCGAGACAATACACAAACACTGCTGTACTGCTGTCAACACAGGTGGGTACGCAAACCACCAAACATTTTAGGTCCTACAGGTAAACAGTGTTTTTATATGTGTTTGCTTTTTTTTTTTTCATTTGGTGAGCGTAATAAACCGAAGGCAACTGGATATTTGATGTGTTCGTTAGTTTTACCACAAAGCACAAAGCTCTCTTCACTGTTTGACTGCACAGAGACCAATGAAGCCTGCTCATAACTTTGGCTTGCAACTCTGTCAGACCATGGGCTAATTAGTTTCTGTGGAATGTAGTGGTTCATGTTCACACACACGCACAACTGTCAAGAACAAAAAATAAAATTTGTGAGTTCCTTAAATAATTTAGCTACAGCACTGCGAGTCTACTCAAACACAAGAGCTGCACCATAGTACAAACTAAATGTCTTCTTAAATGTTTACACTAGCACAGACATTATTGAATGCAGTTTACTATTGGGAGATGATATAGGTGTGGGCTAGCTGGACTGTATTGGAAAAGCAACTCAGAAGAAAAACAATAAATATCATTCTTGACATAAGGCAAGGCAAGGCAAGGCAAGTTTATTTGTATAGCACAATTCATACACAAGGCAATTCAAAGTGCTGAACAAAACAAGAAAGCATTAAAATCATAAATAATCACTTTATAATCATAAATGAACCGTTAGTGTTTTTATCCAACAATATGAGCTAAATTTAGTAAATAGTCAGGCTCAGTTTTCCACAAGGCATTATAGATTCAAGACAGTTCTCTGAAAAAAGAAAAGGAGACTAGGAACAACTTTCTAAAAATGCAGCTTAGTAAATCTGGCAGAGCAGCTGTACTCTGTGTAACCTTTATGTTAACTAGCGCTGTAGCAGTGGGATTGAGAATGAATATAGCGCGAGCCCTGGACACTGAGTTTGTGCTGGTGCATGGCAAAACTTCGCTCTTAACTTCAAATGCTTCATTAGCTGCTTGTCCTCTGGTTCACCCCTGACTTTTGTTCCTAAAGATCATATACATATACATGATAAATATATTTATATACAGCCTGGTCCCTTGTGGTTTTTACCAGTTGGTATTTCTGCGCGTTATGATGCCCTACATAACTGACATAGGGATCTTTACAGCCGCTCCTCCCTTGATGTCTGCTGTCTTTCTTCTTCTGATTTTTTATTCAAATGGTACTCACACTGACCTCTAATATTTGAAGTAAATCAATTAAACATATCTTATTTGTGGCTCTGTGCTGATCAATTAATGCAAATACTGTTTACATTGATTACTGCTTGATCTTGTGAATTGGTTTTTAATCCAGGCTTGTGCCACTGTAGTTGATCCCATACAGATGAACTTGGAAATACAGATGAATAATTATTGATTTTATGGCCTAATGGTCGTGGAATATATTTAATCCCTATGTATTTATGTGCATCATAATGCATGTGTATATTATATCTAGTGAAATTGGCTGTTCTCTCTTGTGCTGCTGACATGGTGTCTTGAAATATTTGCAAAGACTGAAGTGTACTTGAATCTCAAATTCTGAAGCCTGTGTTTACAAGTAGGAAATACTACTACAATTATACTCCCCATACTTCAGTTTCCTCGATTTTCGTTTGTTTTTTGTGCTTGAATCTAAAATGTGCAAGAATCATTTGCACATTTTTAACACTTAAGTTATATTCCCTGTTGTTTACTATTGCTGTTAGTGCAGTGATAGTCATTAACCTTTTAGTGCAGTACATTATGGATTTCAACAATACAACCAAGTTTCTTACATTTAAATTCTACTAACTCCTCTGCTGTCTCTCTGTTGTCTTGCTGTGCATCTGTTGGCAGAGTTAGAGCTGTCAGTGTTGACCTGCCTGTTCCCCTCCCACTGAGCTCCGCACTCAGCCGCACAGACACAGACACTGGCCTCTCGCGGTCCCTTCCTCACCACGCTGCCATGTGTGTAATTAGCTCCTCAGTGCTCCAAATACTGAACGCATTACCAGTCCAATGTGTGTGTTGTGGGTTTGTATTTGGTCATGTTTCTCATGATCTCCATAGTAAAAAATAGACAGGTGGCCGGATTCTCAATCTTCAACCATGGTAGAGTTGCAGTGTCATAATAGGTGCAGTCATGCTACGGGTGTTCCAGCCCTCGGTCCCACAATCATCCATCCTTCAAAAGGTGTTGTCTGATGATGCAGTTGTTTGGAGCATTGTAAATATTTTTAGGGCTGTTATTTGGTAGTTTAGTCGCAACCAATTATTTCTATTGATTTTCGTTTTTCTGGGAAAGCATAACAAAGATATTTGGTGTATGTTTAGATTTTTTAAACCGTATCGTAAGAACACTTTGAGTTCAGCAGGTTCTAATATGGCTATTTTTTTTCTAGGCCTTGGTTGTTTTGCATGAAGCTAGCAAGTAGGTCACTTAAAACTGTTTTAGTTTCGAGAACTTTTGCCTCGCCCCCTTTTTAGTTGATTAACTGTTGGACCAGGCATGTCTTTAGTTGACCAAGCACCTGCCCACTCCTTCCCCATCTCAGACAAACTCGTCAAATGTTGAACCAGGGCCAAAAAAAACATAATCATTATCTAATTCTATCTGATGAGGATGACAAATCATTGTGTGATTAATAATTAGTGATCAGAGAGGGCCAGTAGCACACATTGACGGGCTTGCTACCATCTGTCTGCCCCAGGGCAGCTGTGGCACCACCCAGTATGAATTTAAAAATAAATGAATTCACTGTGGCTTTTTGAGAGACAATCCTGTATGCACATTACAAGTGTATGATAGTATTACCCTTTCAACATCAGGCGTATTGTAATCATCTCTTTGTGTCTGTTTGTCTGTAAGCAGGATTACACAAAAACTACAAGACAGGTTGAGCTGAAAATTGTTTCAGATGGGATGTGATACATGGACGAGATAATCCATCCATAGTTTTAGCGGAGTACGCACTCTCCGAGTACATGTTCTAATTATTGATATCAATGTGATGCAATATGCGATTCAAATTAGAAGAGCTTCTGTGTTGTGCTCCAAGAGATAGTCGGATAAGTAAGTTTAGTTTCCAGCTAACATATCACAAATAATGTTTTGAGTACTAATAAATAATGGTTTGTTTGCTTCTGTCTCAAGGACACACTTTTAATGTGACCTTCTAATGTAGCTCTGTTTTACAAGGTTATACCCACTTGAGCAAACAACACATTTTGGGTAGCACAGATGATGAATTTAGAATTTAAAAGAAATTTCAATCATGGTTTTCTAGACACTAATACATTTACAGTAGCCACACAGAAACCCTTGCGGTCAAGTATGAGATTATGAGCAAACACACTGAATTTGTAATAGTCCATCCCCTTCAGCATCATCCTTCTGAAACATTAAATCAATATTTGTTAACTATCATGACCTCCCAGTCTCCCTGTCTGTGTTGGCTCATGTGCGCTTCTTCGCAGTTTGCACCAGTGTGGGAGTGCCTTCTATGTGAATCAGTTAGAGCTGGTAACCTCTCTACAACATTCTGAATTTGTAAATGGAATAATATTGATTACTGTTCAATATGCTCTGGCTGACGAGAATAAAAATGTTCTCCATTTCGGGGCCCGGTCTCCCTCAACCCTCATTGGCATCTTTTAGAGCCCACTTATTTAGAATGGTTAGAATTAATGACTCCATCTATATTCTTTTCCTGAAATTGAACAAGGAAAAAAGCAAATAATGTGAATAAGTGATTTGTGAAAAAGATGAAGTTTTTACCCCTGAATTTCAGAATAATGTTATAGCAGTTTTGGAATGTGTGTATGGCTATTTTGTTCTACAGATAGTGTCAGACTTAGATTCAGCATTACCATTTTGAGACTGATATCGATACTGAAACCCAAGATTAATGATTACCTTTTTTTTTTACAGTCTTCCTAGAAATGACAAAGCATTGTTTCAAGATTCAAAAATTGTTTTCCGAGAAGCTAAAAGAGCATATATTTATTGTGTTTTGGGTGCAGACTGGTGATGTACCTCGAGCGAGACTTCCGGAAGGCCACTGTGCTGAGGGAGAACACGGTCCAGTCAGGATACCTGTCCCAATGTCTGGAAGTCATGACTTCATACCTGAGCCACACTGCACCACAGATACTAGGTACAGACAAACACAGGCCTACTTCATGCTGTTACTTTACTTCAATACATTGTGAGCAATCCATTCACATGATTTCACTAAAGTTCTATCCCACTTATTTTCAGAGGATGTGTTGTGTGCACTGAAAGGTGTGGTCGGGAGAAAGCACCCGTCAACTGCTCAGAGCCGACAGCTCAAACTCATTTTACCAAATGCATCCATTGTGTTGGAGCTTCTTTCTTCTCAGGTACTCCATGTCACTTTGAGCTTTAAACCTGACCATGCCCTGCCCCTTGCATCTCTGTTGTCGCATTATTGTTTCACTTTTGCTATGATAAAAATGAAAAGAACATTACTATAAAACATATTTGTAATGCAGGTTTTCAGGTCACAGATTGTGACAGAGAAGTTTCTGGATAACATTGGACAACTTCTTGTGAGTTGTATCATAACTACTTAGAAATTTCAAAAAGGGTTTGTAGTTAACAACAAACAATATTTTGTTTTGTAAACATTTTCTTCTCTGTTATTTAGGACCATATAATTAATATTGACTCAAATGAAACTAATCTGGCTTGTGCTGTGGGTAAGTTTTATTTTAATTACCAGTATGTAGCAAAGCATTTCCTCTATCCAAGTTATTAGCATAATGTGGTATTATATCACAATAACGTCCTAGTGCAGACTATCTCTTGGTTTGCAGAATAGAGTTTTGTATTGATGAATAATGTGAGTTTTTCCCTACAGGTGCAGCCACCTGTGATGCATTGATACGTACATCTCTGTCTATTGTGGAAGTCTTAAGCCAACACCAGGCCCTCATCTCTACACACCACACCATTGTAAGTGCACTCCTACACTTTTGCACTGTTCAGATTGACAGAAAAATAGCATCATTTTCATAACACATTCTAGTATACTGTTCACACATAGGGCATGTTTCCACCAGATCACTAAACGTATTCATTATTGTTCTGGGTCCTATTAGACAAAACACTAATCAACTATTGACCCGGCTCATCACATCAATGTCTTAACCTGTGTAAACATGTGCATGTGATCATGTGGCACAATCAGATGTGTTTAATGACTATTGACATGTAGAAGCAGAGAGCATCAGGAAGTGGTGTGGTTAAAGGAAAAGTGGGAAGAACGGAAGAGGAATACAGGATTGCAGCAATCTGGACACTGATACTCAATAACACAGGAAGACAGTTTAATTACCTCCAGCCAACTTAGATTATGTTATCGTGCCTGCTGAAGACTCCCTCTCAGTTTGAGTGGGGTTCAGGCAAGAAACTTTTTCTCAGTGTAACTTAAAAAACTCCCTCCTTTATATTTTAATTGCTATAATCTTGAACTAGACTGGTTTGAGTGACGTTTTGTCCCCATCTTATTAGTATAAATAGAATTATCCATTATCAATTGGTTTGTGTAATCTGCAGTAAATTTCTCCATTATATGATCAACTTTATTGATCTTATCTTATTCTATCTGTTCCCAAAATGGGGTCCCAAAAGAGCTGCAGGTTGTTGGGAAAGCATATTCTGCGTGATTCTGGCAAGGGTTTTGACTTTCCAATGCAATCAACAATCAACCACTTACTTAAATCATTTTTTAAACCAAATGTATTTTGTAAGTATAGCTTGATACTTTTGATCCAATTTGGCAACAGATTTCTATCCTCCAAGATAAAAGAGGAAGTGTCTTCAGAAGGGGTTTCAAGTGAGAAGACATGTCATGTGGGGTTCACTTTTCAGAAAAATTGGCCGCACACAAATACAAGCAGATGCATACGCAGATAGACACATTCTTAAAACACTCCATTCAGTCTTTTGATGGTTGTGGTATTAATACACATCCCATTTAGCCCGACAACATCCTTTGTAGTTCGCTCTTTCCCGCTCCTATTGTAACAGCCTCACTCAGCATTAGTGTTGTTTCTATGGTAATATTAGTAATCATGCAAATTTGTCCCAATACAGACCCATAGCTAAATAAGGGCCCCGACAATTGCGGGCGCACTTTTGTTTTGTGTTTGATCAAAGAATTCAGTCAACAGTGCATTTCCATGGTAATTTGATCCCTCTGATAGTGGTCTGCTGTCAAAGCCCTGCATCCTAATATAGTACTGCCTGCTCTGCAAGTAAAATGGTGCAGAATCATGTTAGTGTGTGTGTGTATAATTTGTCCCCATAGGTGGTGGATAAAGTCCTGCCTCCACTCATGACCTTGGCCTTCAGCAAAAATGGTATTTCTTCACATAAACACGGCTTCATGATATAAATTGTGTGTGCAATATTTTGTATGTCTAATGAATTATAATGGCTTTATGTTAGTTTTAATATATTTCATTTTTTCTTCAATGAGATGACAAAACTACAACCATCTCAAGTTAAATCTAGAGTTGACAAAACTATGACTCTATATGATAGAACTTGGTTTAGTTGTGAATGTATTTTTTTTTTCATGGGTTCAATTTAAAGCTAATAAAATATATGCTCAATAGATCAGATCCATCTCTTTCAGATATTGTTCGCAAATTGACAGCATGAATATTGCGCATGTGAGCCTTAGGTTGGCCACAATAGAAGATGATCAATTTTGCTTTTTTATGGAGTACCAAAAAACAGTCATTATTTGGTGAGACACAGTGCAACACATCTTCTTCACGGAGTAGATTGGATTGTTGATTGGCCATAGAATGTTGGCGCACTCCTCTTTAATAGCGATTCAAAGTTGCTGGATATTGGCAGAACTGGAACACGCTGTCATATGACAATCCAGAGCGTCCTAAACATGCCCATGGGACGTGTCCGTGAGTATGAGGCCATGCAAGTACTGGAATGTGTTCAGCTTCCAGGAATTGTGTACAAACCCCTGCAACATGGTGCTGTGTGTTATCATGCTGCGACATGAGGTGATGGTCATGGATGAATGACACAGCAATGGGCCTCGGATCATGTCACAGTATCTCTGTGCATTCAACATGACAGTATTGAAATGTACCTGATTTCATGTTCATAATATATGCCTGCCCATACCATAACCCCAGTGCCACCATGGGTCACTCGATCCACAATGTTGACATCAGAAAACCAACACAACGCCACACACGCTGTCTACCACATGCCTTGAACAATGAAACCAGAAAACACATCCATAAAGACACATCTCTCCAAATGCCACAAGCCATCAAATGTATTTGCCCTCTCAAGTCAAATTTACGATGACGAATTCCAGTAAGGTGGAGACTCCGGTGAGAAGTTTGACCTTTTGAAATTCCCTGAGATGGTTTCTGACAGTTTGTGCAAACAGATTGTTGCAGCAGCTGTCTGGGTGACTGGTCTTGGATGATATTGAAGGTGAACGTGCATCCAGCACGGCCTTGATTTGGTGTGGTTACACATGGTGTGCGGTTCTGAGACTGGCTGGCTATACTATAATGTGTCAACCTATCACGGTAGATAATCTAACATAAAATGTTCAGGCAGCATTGGATGGATTGTCTCAGCAAAACAATCGTAGATATATTTGTGAAGAATTTGTAAGTCTATTTATCATAAACAGCTTTTTGGTTTTAAGTTGAACCCATGAAAAACAAATCAGTGTAGTCCCTCATTTGTCCAGTAAGATCACCTTGACTAATGACATGTTTCCTATCAAGCTCAAGTGTTCTCCACTGTGTGTGTGTGTGTGTGTGTGTGTGTGTGTGCACGCCCAGTGGAGTGGTGTCAGTTTGTGCTACAGGTGCTTTCAGAGCTCGGCCTAGTCCTCCTCATTGAAGAGGAAAAAACTCAGCGAGACAAACATAAGGCACAATTAGTCGCTCTCATTTCAAACTCTCTACTTTCAAGGTGCGTTGTGGATGTTTGCCAACCTTCCAATAAAATGCATGATTCTGGCCATTACTTTATTTGAGTAAAGATTTGGGTTCAATAATGGGGACACATTATAGCTTGTATGCAATGTTCCAGTCCTAAAATATCATTGTTTTATTGTATGAATTAAAGCTAATATGAATATAACAATATTGATCTATATTCATATTTCAGTTTTAGTTTATCATTTCCAAAGGACACATGCTTTGTTATATTCTTATGTGTTACACAGGTATGAGAGCCTTCTTCGAGCCTCAGAGCCAATCCCTGTTTATGCCATAAAACTGCTAGTGTCAATGACGGAACACAGCGCTCAGATCTGCAGGTATACATACAAAGAAATAAACTGTACAAATGTAAAACCTGCAAATCAAGTGTAAAAAAAAAAACAATGACATACTCTATAAACCAATTATTTAAAATCATCTGGCGAGTGAAAGAGTATATTTCTCTAAAGCCTCTGGATTATGCAGCATCAACAGAAATACTTTCTCCTATTAGCTGTTATTGTTTGTTAAAGCACTGATATTCCTGTGTTTACGTGCGAGAAAACATAACTGCAAATTCAGCAGAAAATCACTGCCGCAAATTGCAATGCGTGTTTTAGCATCCTTAAACTGCTAACTGCAAGTAGCCATAGAGATCAAATGGAAGATAACGAGCCATTAAATATGTATGTAGCCGTGGCATTCACTCAAAAAACATAATAGAATAGTTTATTATGTTTTCTTACTATTTCCAAGATGTTGCGTTGTTTTTCCCCTTTGATTACGGTAGTTCTTCACACGTCCAAGCTCCACTCCTGGATTTATTTTATCTTTTCTAGCCACAAAATACGTCTTATCAAAAATATTCCAGCCTCTTTTGACCCCAATCCATCAGCCTGTAAAGTTCATAGTTCCACCCCTACTTCTCTTATCAGTCATTTTATCCCACATTCCCCATTCTCCCACTCTTTCAGTCTTCACCCGTCGCTTCGTAGAGTGACATGAACTTTTCAAATTGGTGTCACCGCTCGCTTCCCCACCACTCATTTTCTTACGACATTATTAACATTTTTCTAGTCTTTCATTCATTTCTCCCTTCACAATCTCTAATTTATTAGCATTAGTGCACAAGTCTCTCTTCAGCTGCCCTCTTCGTAAACTCTGCCTCCATCGCTGTGGTTGTACAATCAGAAATTAAATTGCCTGGGTCTTGGCTAGATAAGTGTGGCTATGAAGCAGGCCTGGCAGTAATTAGATGGTAAATTGGGGACATTAGCGTTGGGTAGGCAGCCCGCTGTCTCTCCCTGCATTATCACAGCTCAGGCACCTTCAATCACTACATTTAGTTTGACCTTTAAGCAAAAAGAGCCCTAGTGTGCGTGTCCAAGGGAGATTTACGGCCTTTTACTGTTGTGCCCACGCTCTGCCACTGCTGAACAAGCTCAGAAACTAGACTTTTATATCGCTCATGATGTAATTTAGTGTAATGTCATCTGGGATTATTCTGAATCTTGGAGGTAATTTTCCAATTTAAATTAGGATCGTGGTTTGTTTTTTTTTTCCTTTTGAAAGCATCTGCGATATGCCAGCACCATTTATATTTTTCCACAAATCTTTACTTAAGAGTTAACTTGATAGAGTTGCATTCTTAATGTGAGTGAAAAGTCCTCTTGAGATATCCCCTGTAACTTCAGTGTTGTGGGTTAAATTCTATACTTTATAACATTCCAGAAACGGTGCCAATATCCTTCGGAAAACGAGCAAATTACCACTGTTAGAATGACATTAGTTTTCACCTTAAGGCTCTCTGCTTCTGTTGAGAGTCTACTGTTATTGCAAACATTTGATAACACCGATAAATCTACCTCAGTTTGTGGAAAGCTTGGAATTGTTATTGTATTAAGTATTGTCTTGTGTAAGTTTTGTCCTTTTTAGAGAAAAAGGAGTGGTTCTACTTAGATTGAACCAAAATTGGACCAAAGGTAGATGAGGCTGGGTATTGAAGAGAAATTAAGGTTTTATGATTATTTTGTACTTGTTATATTTTGGTTTCATGTCTTAGAGCATGATGTGGCTGTTTTCCAGAGAAGAATACCTTTAAAATTAAGTGTAAGATTAAGCTGGCCAACCTTCATTGGGCACTGACTCATTGTGGAAAAAAAGTGGGAAGATGTGGGAAGAATCTTTGTGAATTGTGCTGCGTTTTTTCCTCAGGTCTGGTCCAGCGACATGAAGCCACATCTGAGAGTGATTTATGATATCAACAACAACATATCAAATTAGATCATGTTTAGATTGCCTTGCAGCACTGTATGGAGGATCTCAAAAGGAGAGGATTGCTGTGAAACGTAAAAGTGATTTGCTGCAGTGTGAATCTCAGGATTCTAAGAAAAAAACACAAAAAATATAATGTGTTGAATGGCTTTTAATTGCTGTTATGGCATTTTACAAATGAGGTTTTGTGCTGTACCTGCTGCTCTGGCCTCCTCTTGTTTGTTTGTGGTGCTTGTTGATGCATGGCCTGTAGTTGAGAGGTGGTCTAGTTTATGATGTCGTGTGGGCTGCCCTGTTTTCCCATCTTTCAGCCTGTCGCTTTTTAAGGGGATTCGATCCATCACAACACGGTACTACAGTACAATTGAAAATACACCGGCACGCGCTCAGGCGAAAAATGCATATGAAGCTATATGAATATATATGCAGTTGTAAATCAGCTATCTTCAAAAATGATATGCGTGAATTTAGTGCTGAGCCAAATGGCAAAAACTATTTTTCCCGTCATGTTTATTGATCACTTTTCAATGACATTTTACTTTTGAGTTTTTCAAAAACCCAAGCACATCTTTGACAATTGGAAGTGAGGGAATATTGATCTATTCATATGGGGTAACATCCACCAAGAGCTTTGCAACTTACTCAGGCATGACACTTTCACTATATGTGGAAATGTTTAAGGCCACAAGCCCCTATTAAATTAGCTAAAGTGAAGGTTAGTTACTTTTACATTTTTTTAAGATGGAGATAAATTTATTCAATGCAAGCAACATTTGCCACCCCTAATGTGGCAATTAGGGGTGGGAACCTAAGGGTACCTCACAATACGATACGATACACGATACAAAGCTCACGATAACGATATTATCACGATAACGATTTTATAACGATATGACGATTATCGATATATTGTTCTGAAATATACAATATGCCAATTTATGGCATAAATAAAAGAAAAAATACACTTTATTTCATGATAAATGGAATGGAGATGCGTAATGTAGCCATATATTGAGTATTGATACCAATTTTAAAAAAATATTTGTAACAAAAAAAATATATATACATTTTTTTTTTCAAACTCAATATCGATACTTGGCAAATGCATATTGATAATCGAATCGTGGGAGAAAGTATTGCGATATATCAAAAAATTGATATATCGTCACACCCCTAGTGGCAATGTGTTTATTACATTTCGGAATGTACCATAATTAGTGAGGGTGATTTGATTAGATCTAGTCTTTATTGATTCTGTAGAAACCCTTGACCTCTTTGACTTTCACTGCCCAAGAATCCACTTGTACATTCTTAATTGCTCATGAAGTAAGCCTGGTTAATCAATAGTCATTTCTAATTTAGACCGCCATCTTTCTTTACGATTTAATCTTCAGGGTTATTCTCTTTGTCCACGTTTTCAATAGTGGCCTTTTTTCACCTGTCATTTTCAATTTTCTCTTTCGCTGTCTAAAACTTTCATCTTCTCACCTCCTCCCTCTACTTTCCATTTCCAGTGGTTTCAAATTGAGGCTGAAGTCATTATAGTGAAACCCCAAAACTTAATGAAGATGAAAATGTGCTGTATGTGAGCTTCTGCATTTGAACTGTGCTTTAAAAATTGAATTAACTGCTGCTCGTTATGTCCCTGCTCTCTCTCTGTTTCCTTTCTCTAGGTTAATAAAACACAGCACGATTCTACCAGTGGTCTTTCAGCTCATTATGGTAAGAAATCAATCAATCAATTAATTAAATCATTTTCATTTAGCTACAGAGTAAATCACAATGTCACTTTTCTGAATAGACTTCCAATCAGCTAATCAAGCACATTAATCACGCCATGCATTTTTGAACGAATTTCTGCTAAACTCCATGCGCCTGTTAGGTGCACTTTTCACCGATGCCTCCTTCTCTCACTCGATCTAGCTTACAATTGCATTATGTAAATCAGCCTGAATGGTGTTGACCTATTGGAGCGCTGGTGTAATTGACTGGCAGGTCGGCCGTAAAGAAGACGAAGGGTTAATTTGGAGGTCCGTGATGTAGATTGCACACAGACACCACAACGTATAACAGTCCACTCTTATCACTGAAGCTTGTCTCCAATAAACAACTTAATTCACTTGACCCTCTTCAACAAGTACATAGTGTAATCTGTGCTGCGACCCGAAGAGAAAAACAATTTATGATAATATATGCAAACATTACTTGCACTAAATAATACGTGTTGTGCCTGGCTGCTTGTCCACCTCCTAATGTTAAGCACTCAGGCAGCAGACTGATTGACTTTGCCTCTTATTGTTTACTGCTGTCTGAACTGGTCATGTCGAGCCACATTAGTGTAGTCTGCATGGCTCACTTTTAGATTGATTTATTTGTCCTGGTTTTGCTCAGATCTGCTGTGATTACAGCTGTCACTGGTGATCACAGACGCCACAGCCTTACCTAATTGTATTTGTCTAAATGATGAAGTACTTCTGTTGGACTTCAACTACTGAGGCCTGCGTTTTGTAACTTCTGGGTTGCTACTGTGGACTTCAGCTTGATTCCCTTGTTCATGTTCATGTTCATGTGATTATAATATGTTTATTAAACAAATATAACAATGTTTTACACAATGGTTTAAAGTTAGAGTCACAATTTTAATGTAATTTTAGTAAAACTGAGCAATATGTCAAAAAAGATCCCATTCTAACTTTCATCTAATTTTGAGTGAGTTCATTGATGTCTAGTCCAACTATAGAGTTGTCTTCAATTTACAAATGTATTAGTATCGATTATATTCATATAACTTTTTGATGATTCATGAATAGAGTTCAAATGGAAAATTAGGTTTTACAACTAGTATGCAGTCTTTCCTTTACCCACCACATAGCTTTAGGATTAAAGCTCAATAGCGCAGTGCCGAGAGATCAAGTAAATTTGGGTCCATCTTCTGTTGTTGGTGGCAGGCAGTTCGTCCTGTGTTGTGATGTCATTGTCTTCACCCTGAGGCTAACGAACATGATGAGTGTGAGCCAGGCTTTGTGCCCTGCTCAGATCAGACCACTGCACACTGCCCTGCAGGCACATGGCATATATCAAGGATCAAACAGAGGAAATAAGTGAAAAGGAATATGAAAATAGGCCCATAAATATAACAAATCATACAGAGGTGAACTGTTACATACAAATTACTTGATGAGGATTGTTGTTGAAAATCGTTCTACTTTTGAAGGTCACAATATCGACTTTCCTATTCACAGCTCCTATTTTGTAGTCGGTCTAATTTTCTACTCATGTTTGCCTTTCAGCCATGCTTTGGAGAAGAAGTGTTTTCAAACTGAGAACTCATTTGGCTTGTTTGTTGTTTCTAGTTTACTATGGAGAAGATAAGTACTTTATTGTCCAGCTTAGGATAATAGATAATGAATACATGTTTAAAAGTATCTGCTATATATTCCTCATTCTATCCATCCTAGCCATTCATATTATTCTTCTCAAGCATTTCTTTTCGAACACATTCAATTTCATTCGTTCATTTATCTCATAGCCCATGTTTCTGCACTTATACTATTGCAACACATACTATTGCAACAACACATCATCAGTAGAGTGAAACTAACCTGTCTCACAACGGTCCAACACAGTCGGCACAACCACCCTCTCATACAAACACTTCTTCACCCTTATATTTACATTCTTACCTCTCACTACTATTATTGCTATGGGGAACACCACTTTTTAGAACCCAGCTACAGGTGGGTCGAGAACCTGTGTAAATGGTGGGCTTTCTCTCAGGCTATTGAACGTGCCTGAGAGAAAGCCCACTAACATGGATTCTACCCAGTCTCCAGAATATAGAACATAAGTGCTCAGCGGCCCCAGTGTTCACATTAATGAATACAGTGTTTCTTTATTCTATTTTCAGGCCTGCAATAATAATGTGACCAGTGGGATGGTTCAAAATGCTGTTGCTCTGCTCTGTAACTTGAGTGGAGACACCATTTTGGACCTAGAGCCTGTGCATCAACAAGGTACTGTCATCACCCCCCTTTTTTACCAATCTGTGTGGTGTGAATAAATACTGCACCAAATTGTAAAGTATCATTGTGACTCGATCTGTGTAAAGCCTAATATACATAAAAACATTTAAAAACCAACCCAAGCTTTTTACAAAAGCTCACTTGAGCATTTGATTACGTCTATGTGTATAGGCCAATCTGATATTTGTATATATCAGCAAGAATGGTTTGATTTCCCGTCGATTCTCCCCGTTTATGTGTTTCTGAAAGTGGAGGGCATGAAACCCTTTCAGATAAAAATGTCATTGTATTTCTCAAATTATTTGACACATGATAATTTAAGAGTAATTGGGAAAACATAATAAATGAATGAGCAACAAAAAATAAACACAGATTAAGCATGTTTCAGCATTTCAAATTAGAGTATTGGGTATGATTTATTTCACACTTATTTTGGGAGTCCCTGACTGAAAAGTCTTGATCTTTGTAAAAAACAAAAAACAAAAAAACAACCTATGTTTCTGAAGCAAAGAGTTGACACAGCCTTAATTTGAAGACACGATGCCTCCAGGATCAAATCCTCCCCTTGCAGAAAAAAATACATTGACGGAACCTTGTATCTCTTCTTCTTTTATAAACTCACAACCCCCTTTCTCCGAACACTGGATCGGACTCCCCAGTATTTCCAATGGGTCAGCAGCACTTCAGTTTGAGTAGTCAGCATCATTATCATCCAATCAGCTCTCCTGTTTTCTCAACAAGAAACTGTAAACCCAGCACTATAACCGCTCTGGCAATTAACACTATCTATCTTTTTCCTGCTTCTCTTTCTCCTTGTTCATTCTTACATTTTTTGCTTTCTAACGCTCTAAATTTATATTGCTTATGTTGACTCCTTATCCGTGTTCGGCTTCTCTTGTTTATGCCCTCTGCACTATTTTGGTGATCGATCTACACTTTTAGTTGTGGTTTATCCCAGATTCATGCGACGATAGCAAAAAAAAAGGAGGAGAAAGAGTGTGAAAGCATCTATAATTGGTGTGACAAAGAAGGAGAAGGTGGTGTGAATGCTTGTGGCTGTATATGTTTGCATGCTACAGAAAAGACTGAACCAAATGAGTAGTGCTGGTGTGAATTATTTGTTTCTGTGTCTATTTGAGAGAGACTGAAATGAAATGTTTGTGGGTGGAAAGTGGATGCAGGAACTCCCAGTCTAGAGTGGCAGAGGCACACACAGCGGAGATGAGGTTTATAATTGGGCAGATTTGCCTCCGACTGCGATAATGCCCCCCTGGGAATAAAGACAGGAGAGGGGGAGAGATGGTGAAAGTGTATCTCAATGAGGAAATGGGTGAGATATATAGAGAGGAGAGATGATAAAGGCAGAAACGGAGCAAAACGCGAGGTAAAGAGGTTGTACAGAGGTGACAGCGGGAAGGGAAGGTACAAAGAGGCGTGCGTGCGGAGACTATTGGGAGCACCGTCGAGATGATAGGGAGAGAAAATTGGAGGTTGAAGTGAATGACATTTTGATTGCAGAGATACAGAGGGGTGGAAGCGCATGAAAAACCTGGAGGAGAAGAAGCTCCTAAAACAAAGTTGATAAAGATAAGCAAAGCAGGGCACCTCACTGCAGACGGATTACTGGAGAATCATTTTTTAGACATAATGATAATCAGACAATTTCAGAGCTCCAAGAGACGCTGACATTGACAAACCACACAATAACATTCTTTATCCAGAACATGGCAGTTTGGTGTACCTTGGCTTTGGCCTTGGGCGTAGACAAGGTGCTTTTTTTAATTGCATGACTCTTGTGGTTTAATTAATTAGGAATGCATTGGGGACTGTGGACATCTGAAGATTACTTGAAGGACTTTTTGCTCAATCTTGGGGTTTAAGACTTCACCAGTCCTTGTTAGTTGTCTTGACCTTCTGTGTAGAGCTCAGAGGAGTATTTTAGGTAATTGCCTCTGTGCCATTGTTAGCGAGTTTCACTGCATCAATAACTCACCATTTTGAATGGGTTTAGTTTCCCCAATTGGTGGCTAAAACCCACACCCATATGTGGCCAATCCATGTGAAACGGCCTCAGGCAGTTTATACCACAAAGATTGGTCTTGGTGCATCCAATGTTGCCATAATACCAAATACACAATAGGTTTCAAATGGCACAAACAACCATAGTTTATTGGCTTGCAGTGTTCTCCAGAATCTAATTAGTAAGGTGAGGCATAATTGTTTGTGTTTTTGTGGCGCTAATAAGAGCACACACAATTGAATACATATGGTTAATACTGCTGTTTCCAGTCAAACACATATCATGACGTTGCAGTATCATGGACCTGGAACTATTCAGACAATAGAAAATATAGAGCAAACGAATTAAAGGCAAGTTCCCTGTGCTTTATAAATGGGTTGGCGCTATCAATATATATGTTTTGCCAGACAATTAAATTAAGTGGCTCCTATGACAATATTATGAAAAGCAGACTGACGTTTGTTTTTCTGATATGTGAAATTATACTTTTTTACATTCATGTTTATAATACAAATGTTATATACTATAGACAGTTTATCATTTAATTTGATTTATTCCATATCCTCAAGAGTCAAGTGTTTTAGGAGTTTATTTATCGTAAAAATAGCCTCAATTTCCCCCCTATATGTAATCCTCCTACATACTCTGTAGCCCTCCTCAGCTGAGCACAAAAACATTATTAACATATCCGTGTGCAACAATCGGGGCCAGAGCAGAAGGGAATTGTCACATTACATTACCAGCAAAGATAGGTCTTTGTGTGTCCAAAGGAGCAGCCTGTTTATTTAATTATGTGGCAGTGTGACAAAGTTGTGCCTCGTCTCAGTGACAGCAGGCGAGCTCCTCTACAACATGCACACACACTCCTGCACTTTCACTCCCCAAAATAAACAAGAGCATTAACTTTCTAAATAAAGCTGCTTCTGAGAAAACAGCTCCAGTGGATTTGACTCAGAGGAATAGATCATTGTTTTAATGCATTTGAGCTTCAGGTATAGCTGCCTTATTTTCTACTTTAAGAGATAATTTAAGACAGACAAGATACCTATGATAGTATTTGAAATTCTAGAAGTAAACTAGAATAGCGGGCCAACTTAATGGCACAATTGTTCAACATATACAGTATTTAGATGTTTTTATTGACTACACATGTCTTCTGTAAGTCATAAAGAATGTATAAGTGGTGTAGTATTGATAGCAGTAAGACATGAATTGGAAATGCACAACCTGTAAATGTGATCATCTTTAACCCAGCGCAGCTCATAAAACAGTAACAATGTTTGGAAAAACCTGGGCTGAATTATAGATGAAGTTCAAAAGTTGTCCGAGGCTGGCATCCACCCTTCACTTAGTGCACGCACCTCCGGGCCAGTTGTCTACGATCGGTGATGCTGGGAACATGCCGCAAAATGCAAAGTATCCTGGATGTCAGGTTAATTTTAATGAGAACAGAACATGGGTTTTCACTTTGGAGAGTGGTCTTTTATTCATGGCTGTGTTCGAGTTACAACATGTTTGAGTAGTTATCTTAACTGAGGATGGAAAAGGACAGAATTATGAGGTAGGTATTTTTTGCTCATAGTGATTTGAAAAATGCGCTAAATGAAGGTAAAAATGTCAGCTTTTCTCATGGTTCTGAAGAGGATAAATGCTGTACACCCTTTGTGATCCCTACCCTTCCAAGTAGCTCCAACTGACAAATAATGATTTTGGGATCCACATTTAGGAGCAAGAGCTTTTATTTACTTTTTTTCAATCAATCCATCAATCTTTAATTGTAGTGTGCTTTACAAACAAAATCATACCACAGAGTCCGTCACAACATTAATTTTTTATTTTTGTACACTTATGGACATTAGTCGTCTGCCCTTTTGGACCAATGGCTCTATGTGTGTTGTATCATTGCATTTCCTATTTTTGAACTGTTTTATTCTCTAATCTGTTTTGGCAAATCAACAACTTTGTTAAGTTCTCTGAGAATTGAATTAAATTTATTTGACCCAACAAGCCACCCACCAACAACAGTTGCAGACTTACACACTGGTACATCTACACATTCACTCACACTCAACCATGAAAACATGAGGCTGAGTACAGAAAATACCATAAAAAAGGCACCATCCGAGGAGCCTTCTGCGCCAAGAGCAGAGAGCCGCCTGCAGCGTCAGGGGACAACACAGAACCCAGAGGAAAGATTAAGCCGAGTCACTTTCATCAGGTTCATTGCAGAGAGCTTCTTCAGAGGAAACACTGGGGACTGAAACGATAAAAAGTAAAATATTAACATGTAAAAGTATGCTACAATAAAGTTTTTTTTAGGTCTAAAATAAAACAAATGTATAATTAATGAAATACAAAAAAATCTAAAATGATAATCAATAAAACTAAATCAAACTAAAAAGGTCCGTCTTGAGCCTGCTCTTAAAAACATGAAGGTTCTCTGCAGCCATGAGCACCTCACCTTGAGTTTGCGTCTTGACTTTAGGAATGACTCGGAGCCTGCTGCCGAATGAGCGAAGGGGCCGTGAAGGAACTTAACAGCAGTTCTAAAACGTAAGAAGACTAGTAAGGTATTTTCAATCCAATGAAAGAACCTTAAAATTGCTCCTGAAGCGAATACAGAGATTTTAAAGCTGTTATAAGGCCCCACCCCCTGGTCTTACTCAGGACACTGAGTTGAACATTCAGAAAGGAGCTCTCCAGAGGAAATAGGTTGAAGACCCTCTGCTGTACACCATACTCAGTGGTTCTCAGACTATCAAGGGACTATATTGCGACCACGCAATTTAGTCCCGCAATATAGTGAGAGGACAAATGCCCACAACAATGACTTACTATTACTTACTTTCCCATTACTAGCTTCTTTTCACTTTTGTGTTTATTTTATTCAAAACCTTAAACATATAGAAGACATAATTAACTTTTCACATTTAATACTCGTATTCATTTGTGAGCATGTTTATAAATTAGAAATAGACCAGTCACTTCACTGGGGTCCCATTTGTAAAGAAAGCATTACAAAGTGTAATATATTTTAGAGCCATAGACAATCCATGTTTGGTTTGTGAGCTTTGCTGTGAGGGCTTTCACAAATAAACCACACAAAAAAATTTGAGCTGAAAAATGATTGTGTTCAGTTTTAGTTCTAAATAAATCGTGTCCTGCGTTTGTGATGTCTTCATGGAGGTGCAGGATTTATGCCATGCATGCTAAACATTTCAGTAAACCCTCATCAGAGACAAACATGAGTTGCACCCTCCCTCTGCATCTTAAAAACACATAATCTTGGATCTTTTCATGCCCTGATGGTAAAACTGATGCTTCCTCTTCAGGCCTTGCAGAGGTGGTGGTGAAGACTTTGACCGATGTGGCTTCAGTTCATCTGGATGGAAGGCTCAGTGACCGGAGGAGGGTCAGCCAGCCCGTCCAGCCCACCCTCCCCCCGCTGTTGGAGCTGCTGCACAACATCCTCAAACAGACGTCCTCCGTCGTCCGCACAGCTCTGCAGGTGAATACCCGCCGAAAAGGGTGACTGTGTCAGTCCTCCCAAACGACCATAGTTTAAATCCTTGCAGTCATGTGTCTATTGCGGTTTTCACATGGGCATAGAAGATATGTTCCGTAATATTTCTTGAACTGCATTGTTTTTACCACATTATTCCACGGATGCTCAAGTTATATTTTTGGGCGACACGGTGGCTGAGTGGATAGCACTCTCGCCTCTCAGCAAGAAGGTCCTGGGTTCGAATCCCGGTTGGACCAGGGCCTTTCTGAGTGGAGTTTGCATGTTCTCCCCGTGTCTGCGTAGGTTTCCTCCGGGTGCTCCGGTTTCCCCTACCACTAAAAATATGTACAATAGGTCTGGCGTGCGCCTCGTGTACTGGCGACCCCCACTCCCAAAAATAACAATTGTAAACCGCTTTGAGACTCCGATGTGCAGTGAAAAGGCGGTATATAAATAAAGATTACTTACTTACTTACTACTTACTATTTTATTTAGACCTGTTCATTAGAGAGGACATGTTTTATTTCTTTTAAATGTTTATATCCAGATGGTTTTCGATTAGTATTGATTTCACCCTTGTCAAAATCTACTTCTAATTCATATATATATATATATATATATATATATATATATATATATATATATATATATATATAGTAGCAGGACATCGGGAGAACTTTGAGCTGTTTTTTTCACACAGGAACAGAGTTGTGTCAATGTGTATGAGTGTGTGAGTGCACAGAAAGTGCTGGTCTTTTTATATGAGGAGATTGGGACATGCCCCCTCAAATGTCGTCCGTCCCCAAGCCAAGTACCCATGATGTGTGTGAGTAAATGTGTGTACACCAATATAACATGCCGGTCACCACGATACATTTATTTTCTTATTGTCTTATGCATTAAGAAAAAAAGTATATAACTCAACAGGTCAATACGGCAATGGATCAAAGTGACATAAAGGTTCTTAATTGGCTCATTTACAAAGAACACTGCGGACTACACCGGGCACAGGTCTTAGTGCTCATGCTCAGTATTGGCATGTGCATGCGCTGTATGGTCATTGTTGCATGTAATGAGCAATTGTCACGTATGGCCAGCGGAGACCGTCTCATCATCAGGTACAGTAGGTATCTGCTCAGGACCGCATTCTGCTTGTACACTGACTCATGCTGCCCTTATGGTCCAAACTATGTATTATAATTTAATTTGATTACTAAAATTGTGGATTTGGCCAAAAAATAAGACTGCATGACTTGAAATATGCATGATATATTAAATAGTTTAGTTTAGTCACGTGCTTCTGGAATTCTGGCTCATGTAGCTGCGGAATGCTGCTGTCTCAGTGATTTTTACACACCGCCCGCTTTGTTTTACACAGAATCTGGTCTATCCACTGGATTGACATGGGTCACCATAATTATCTGGTAAATAATATTCAGGATCGTTTTTGGGTGCTACATGGGAACACAGCAGTAGTAGACAGCTGTATTAATCTGTGATGTGAAGCTCTTTGAAGGACTTCAAATTAGAAGAGACCCCATAGAAATTACACCATCATCATATTGAATCAATCCAAACCTTATTACCACTTTTACAGTCTAAAACAACCTTTGTTAATTGACCATTTAAAGCTGGTATACCAAACTTTTTTTTTTCATAAATAATACATGAAAAATAAAAAATATGATCTATAGGTATAAAAGTTATAAATCAAAGATACATATGAAATGGGAAAACTATTAATAGAACTATAACCATGGATAGACAGATTTGATTACATATAGTACACTGTAGTTACATAGTGGTTTGAAGACTAGGAACCCAGAGTTATTATATTGTAGGTATGGTGGTCATCTGTAACACCATGGTTTTGCAATATCATGTGTTACCATTTTTGTCTCCACTGAGCACAAATCACCAACAGGAACACAAAGTCGGCTCCCTCCAAATGTTGCCCTGGAAGGTCCCAGAGGTATTCGTGCAAGTGTGTGTGTGTGTTTTAGCCTGTTTGCGGGACCACTGATGTGTGTAGTGGGAGCCAGCAGGTTTAAGCAATGGTAGTATTGAAGTTGTGGACTCAGGAGAAAGTGGATCATGTCCTGAGTTCCCGGGGCGCGTACACACACACACACACAATGTAAACGACACAAACACACGCACAGAAATACACACAGGGCCCTGTCTGGCAATGTCCCTGCGGCCTCATTATCACCACTGGCTTTGTCCTCAGCTCGCCTCCCTACTCTGCTCCACGCGCACCAGCCCCCACCTCCCCACTGTGCACCCCAGCCCAGTGCATACATATTAATGGCCGGACATGGTGGGGGGCTGCAAGGGGTTTCTGGGTAAAAGACCAGGATGAAGAGAGTAGCAAGGAAGAGATGGAGAGAAAGCAGCAATGGAGAAAAGCAGGAAGCACAATTTGTAGCGGAAATCAATTCTGCCAGAAATGCAAAGCTCATTATAAAGAAAAACTTCAGCCTGAACCCAAATCATTTGGGTAATAAGGTCTGATAAGCAGAGAGGACGTGATTAGGCCACATTTTCCAAACTATTGCTCTGTTGGTCACAAGAGTTAAGATGAGATAATAAAGAATAAGGCACAGACTGGGAGAGTGCTGCATTGACGGTGTGACTTTGGAGAAGGGTAAAAATATGTGGCAGTCCTCACGATATAATTTTGTTCCACGTCTAATTGTGTGTGTAAGTTTCACTCTAGACTCAGCAACAAGTGAGAGAGAGGGACTGAGGTGCTAATGAAGTGTCGACAGGCGAAGGTGAGAGCCATAAATGAGTTGCTAAAATAAATGGAAGTGACACAGACACTTAGTGAAGTTGAAGACTTCTTGGTGCAGAGGTGTTGAAAAACAGTGCATGCAGGAAATGTACCCGAGTGTCTCTCTCCATCTGCCTCGGCCTGTCAGAATGTGTCTTGGCAGGTCTCTGGATCCATCATTATTGACTGTCAAATCTCTATAAATGATTTAAGACATGTGTGTGTGTGTGTCTGTGCGTCTGTGTGTAGAGCCAGAGGCTATCTTGTCCAGCGGTGGAGACAGAGGCAGCAGAGAAGCTGCTCCTGGCCAACAGACCCCTGAGCCAAGTCAGCACTCACCTCATCCACCTGGTGAGGCCAACTCATTCATTCTGTGTGTGCCCTGCTCCTAAGTACTCTGCATGCACTCACCATCATACAAGCTCTACACACTCACCCGTGTACGTGCACAACCAGAGGTTTCCTAATACTGGGAGTCATTTTATCTACTCATTTTTAGTAAGAAAAGGGTTAGAAATTCAGAAAAAAAATCCTTGTTTTTCTTCATTCAAAAACAATTATGGATGAAAAATAACAACTTCAGATGGAAAGTATGCCTTTGATTTTTTTTACCAGCAATACACAGTTTAACTCTCAATAAAGCTAAACAATAGTGCAACTTTGTTTTGTTTTTAATCACATTCCAGATTCATGAAAATTCAAGCAGATTATCTAAATTAGCATTTTGGACTCAGAGGATTTGGTGAGAGTTAATGTGACGTCGACCATAGAAAGTTTCAAATTAATCCATAAAAATCCACATTATCTCGGGGCCGAGCAGGACCTGTGAAATAAGTTTCTCTGCATAAATGGTTTCATAGCTGGGCTGAATCCATATGAATTCTGGGAAGGCGAGGGATTGAGATGAAGTGGGAGGGCAGTGAGAGGTCTCTAGGGAAACAATAAAGGTTTTTACTTCTACTTGACACATGAAGTGTTGGGTGGGCGTCTAGTGTGTCTGCGCTGAGTGCGGGGGAACCGACACACCCCTGGCCTCTGCTCTGCCCCACTGCCCCATGGGAGATTAGCGGGACAGAGGGCAGAATATGTCAACATTATTCTTAAATTTAAAACTGCATACCATTATTTATATACTCAAACGGAACGCTGACTGGAGAAATATTCACATTTATCATTTCAAAGTAAGAATCATTATCCTGTATCCTTGTCTAATTAAAAATGCCCCATGCTTCTTTTCTAGTCGGGTTTGGCCAACTGTTTTAAAAGCTTTATCTTGACCTGAGTCCATTGTTAATGCATTAAAATACATTGTAAATATTGCAATTAAATAGGTTGCGGTCTATTTCAGTTGGAAGGCAGGGGCCAATGTAATAATTTGTAAAAGAAGCCATTTTTGAAAGAACTGTTAAGAAAATGTTTTCCCAGATCATAATTTACCTGCCATAGTATTATGTCTGGAAGTCCGCATCGAGACAACTTTTTGAGAAGATAATTAGAGCATAGTTTGATATATACTGACAAATAAGATGTGGAACTTTGTGACAGTTTGTACCGAAATTATTAGCTATAAACTAACACTAGAAATATGACAGTTGCCATAGTTCCACTTCAATTTAACCTCTACTCTTTGGAGTGTTGTGACGTTTCATAAAGCCAACCAATTCTTCATAGACACTTCATAAATCTGACCTGTAAGTTTCTTCTTGCGATGCCATCTTCATGAAGTTAGACTGTCCAAAGTGTTCAACAAAAAGTAACGTCACACACTTTTACCGTAGCAGAAGGTGGAGATGACAGCCCTCATTTGTGTTCATACCCATTACTGTTAAAGCCGCTCAGGTGTGAGGTAGCTGACATTATATTCACTATATAATTTGTCACTTTCACAACTTGAGTTTCTCTTGATGTTTACATTGAGTAATCGCACCATCACGTTCTCTCATAGATTAAGTGACTTAAAATATTTCCCTGGGAGTTAATCTTTTATAATTAATCTTGGGAGATATAAAACGCTCTTTCTCCATCTTTGAAGTGATTAATCTAGCTGTAATTCAGAGGATATTTAATTTTGTGTCTTTCATTAGTTGTCCGCAGAGCATCAGGAGGTGTGGGAGGAATCTCTTCAGTGCCTCTCCATCTTGGTCCAGCTGTACGGAGGCGAGGGCCAGGACTGTCTCTCTGCATCCTGTCTGTGCAGTTTTGTACACGTCCTCCGCTCCCACACTGAGCACATTCGGGCTTTGCGCACTGCTCTGTGGATTATTAAGAGGCTGGTGAGTTTCTTAAGCATGCCCAAACTTGAGCTACATTGTTGTCCACAGTTATTCTGCAGCTCATTCAATCATATATGCCAGTGTAAATCTGGGGTCTCAAAGTTTCTTGTTTTTGTGGGCTCAAATCACGGCAGCCGGCTAAAACTATTGGAATAAACAAAAACAAAAATGTACACACGTCAGGCTCACTGTGCTGCTGCTCTCAAAATAGAGTGCAGCTTTGCCGGCTGTAGACTGACAGAAAGAGCAAGACAGATACGGCGAAAAAGTGTTAGTTTGTATCTGCCTGTCACTCTCTGTTCGAGTGTCTGTCCAATTTTGTCTGATAGTCAAAATGATTTGTAGTACAGGCCAAAAAACGGCTGACTTGTAAGAGCGTGCGCTGCGGTAAAGCAGGAGGAGATATATAGTGAGGCTTCTGCTCAAGCCAACCTTAATAAATAATACCAGCTCCATCTGGGAACATGGGAAAAACTGAGGCAACTGCTCCTGACATGCAGCAGCATTAGTTCGTTGGCAAGTTGGCAGCTATCACCCTGATCGACACGCAGCAATAATGAGGATGCTGTAACTACTCATTCATTCCGTTGAAAATTTAGTGGAGGTGAGATATTACGCGGCCGGCAACAATAACTGTAAGTCCATCTGGTTTGGCCTGATTCTCCTGTATACAGCTGCTGTGTGATATATACTGTATACTGTATGTATGTAGAGCAACAAATGTTTGATTGTCCATTTCTGGATCCTGGGATTTTGTTCAGTTGCATAGTCTGGATGTAGATGAACAATATTAACCCCCTAGCTAAATGGAGCCCAATAGGGAAGTGCTCATGGACAGGGTTTGCTCCAACTCGCTCTGGCTCCTATTGACTTACATTGAAAAGTGAACTCCTCTCGCTCACTAACTGTTTGTGTCATGGTCACCATAGTAAAAATCCATGGTTTAGCATGGTGTATGATCCTAGTGTCTATGTTAGTTAGTTAGATACTTTATTGATCCCCGTAGGAGAAATTCAGGTATTAAGAAGCAGCAAAAATACATCCATCCACACAATCTAATATTGTCTTTGTAAATCCAAATATGAGCTTTAACAACGGTCCAATCAGGAGCCTTCTGACAACGCATTCAGCTTTAGCTAGCAACGGGTTGGAACTTACCAGCGCCACCCCTGATTGATGTTTGGTTACTCGGCCGCCGCTACCACCTAAATTTGCTTACATTTGGCTCCACACGCTCAAATAGCCTGTTCAAGCCAGCTCTAAATAGCCTCCTCTGCATTAAGGCTAAACTGCGGTGAGATAGCACTCTGTCAGTCCACTCCTTACATACATGGTCTATGTTCAGAACACTGGTCAAACGCCTTCCTTTACACAGTAATGCCTTTGGGTTGTTTTATTTGTTTGAAAACAAGCAGTAATGAATAAAAGCTCTCTGTTGAGAGAAAGGATGGTGTGTCTGGGTAATTATAGATTGTCTTGGAATAATCAGTGATAAAGGACTAGTGAAGACGTCTACTCTCATTTTAAAACCCAGTTTGTAATTAGTTTGGCCGACTCGGCGCTTACGCATTTTCACATCTAACTAATAGATTCTATGGACATGTGTGTAGATGGTGTGCCAGTTTGGACCTGGCTCAAGAAAAGACCTCAGAGAGAGACCACAGGGCAGGGAAAAGATATGCCACCTATAAGTACAAATGTTTATTCTAACAAGTTGTATAAATAATAAATATATACATATATAGTATTACGGTAAAAAAAAAAAAAAAAAAAAAGCCTAGTTAGATGTTTTGTTTGTTTTTTGTTGTCCTAACATTTACTTGTGTACTGAATTTCTTATAGTCTCTTTGGTTTGGTGTAAAAATGGCTGCTTTTGCTGTGGATGTCAATGAATAATTTAAAGTGCAATGCTAATGTTTTGGCTTGGCTGCAGGGTCGTGCGGTTGTAGTGCTCACTCGAGACACAAGGTCAGCTGTCACCCCGAGATCGAACCACGGCTCTGACTAAAGGGCCTGCCTTCAAGCAGCTTGATTTCCTCCTTGTGTGAGCGAGAGCGAGGGAGAGAGAGAAACTATTAAATTCATGCACACGTTTCAAATCCGCTCTCTAATGAGTTTGTGGCACCTGAACTATACACAAGATCAGAATTTCTCCTGCACTCTGAAGGCTGAAGCAATTTTGCCCTGACCACAGCCTTGTAGCCAAAGGATGACTCATTAATGCAGCTTAGTGCCAGGAGCTAAACAAATTTACATCAATCTTCAATCTACCTTTCTGCTCATTTAGCACCCCCATTCAATAACTTTTCATTACACTTAAAGCCTGAGTAAATACATTTATAGTAGCGTTTCAATATTCTTTAGTACTAGACTATATTCCCTCTTTTTTTAAAATAAAGAACCATCCAATCACAAAGCCATCGCATATAATGGTAAGTTGTGATGTCAAAAGACTAAATTAATTTTCCAAAATCTCACTATCTTCCAGCCAATCGGTGAGCAGGGAGCAGCGTGCGACTTTGAACAAGTACATCAGACAGACATTTTGCACAACACACACCTCCACACTCCGACAAGAGCCTGCCCTTCAACAAAGGCTTTTTAATTATCTTTCATTGATTTCAGGCCTTGGCTAATCTCAATCAAAGATCCCACTAATGGTTTCGAAACTGCAAAGGAGGAGAAACGAAGAATAAATTAAGTGAAAAAATCTCCTAACCAGAACCCTTAAATGAAATGGGATTCATAAATGCTTAAAATAATTTCAACATGTTTATTTAGCCAATGTGTATCTTAGCAACATGACTTTTAATCTCCTTGCTTTTTGCTGTCTTAATTCTTGTGTGCATTTATTTTACATATAATACTGGGTTTGCAGTAATTATGCACTGATTATGTCTATAAAGAAACCTCGATGAGCTAAGACATTCAGTGCTGTCGCCTCAGCTTTATCTGCATTGTTTGTTAATGACTGTAATCCTAATGCCGCCATCTCCAGACGCTGAAATACCTCAATGAATGTCAGAGGACTTTACTCCGAATCACTGCAAACCATTTCCAACAGGATAATGCAACGGGTTAACCGCTTGGATGGGGAAGTTGGATGGGTCCTTTAAAAGGGATGAGGTCTACAGGTCTGCTTGAAAATACTGAAAACAAAGGGAACCAGACATACATCAAAAAATAACAAGGACACCGTTCGTAATAAATAATAAGAAACTCTATTCGGGAACAAAACGTTTAAGCCTTGACATTTCCCTTACCTTTCATTTTCTGAAGACAAAAGTGAAGGGCTTGGACAAGTATTCATACATTCATCTTCTTCCCCTTAATCCATTTCTGGGTCGGGGGGGGTGACAGTCAGAGCTGCACCCAGTACACAGAGCACCAGCCCTTCACTGATCCTCCTGCAGGTGGTGAGTCCACAGGAGCCTTGATTTTTCAGTGGGGGCTTCAGGCAAAGTGGGGTTAAGTGTCTTGCACAAGGACACAACAACAGCAGTCATCAGTTGGATTTGTGAAGTAGGTCTTGTGGTGGGCTCGAAACCCACGACCTTCAGGCTCTAAGGTCAATGCTCTACCAACTGAGCCACTGTCGCTCCATTCATACAACATGAGTTAATATATTGTGGACTAGTCTTTTGGGGTGTGTGACTCTAAAAGCTTTGCACATCTAGAGACTGATCATTTTTCCCATTCATCTTTACAAAACAACTAAAGCTCTGTCAGATTTGATGGACCCTCAGCTTTCAGGTCTTTCCACAGATTTTCAACTGGATTTAGGTCTGGTATCTGAACGTGTACCAGAACTAGCCTCGGCTGGTGTTCATGAGGTGTGATGTTACAGCCTCCAGCTTGAAGCTGCTTAGGACAGAAATATCGGCTGTGAGGAGCCGTAGAAACACCCTGAGCTGTAGGCCCATGTTGAAGAAATGCTTCACGACTACACTCTTCACCTGCCACACTTGTTTCCTCAGTATGGGCCTGCTTTTTGTGATGATATAATCTGTCCATGTGATCAGTTCTGACCAATCCGTGGTGGAGAGCAAGCAAAGAGTGGAGGCTCAGCACTCAAGCCTATTAGGTGCATTGAGAATTTTAAGCATTTAGGAATCCCTTTTATTCTGACCTTTGATGTCACAAAAAATTATTTTCTGTTTGATGGGAAGAATCTCCTTGGAATGGTAACAAGGTAAAAGATCCGCACAACAGCAGCAGTATTTCCAAAAAACGCTTTTATTCGGGCAGCATCCTTCGGGCAGCACCCTTCTTCAGACAGTGTGAAAAAAAAAACATTTTTGGAGCTACTCCTGCTGTTATGCAGGTCTTTTTCCTTGTTAGCATTTCATGTATTACTTAGGGCCCAACACACTTAAGATTTTGTGCGTGTCCCTCAACGTATATGCAAAGAATATTCTTCGACCCAATTTAAGCCACTAAGTCAACTCATGACATGATAGATCAAAGCCAGATTTCATTATACATAGTGATGGGAACTGAAACGGTACAAAGTGCTAAGACAACAACATCTCTTCAGTTTAAAGTAAAACATATTGACAATGCATATATTGCTAGTGCAGGCCACAAAAAGCTATAATCAGATATAGTCACAATGTGATACATTTCTTATCCAGTGACTATTGAAGACGTTTTATTTCACATATCTGTTCCTGTCCCCAGTGGTTTTTGGCTGTGGACAGTGAGGTCTCCATCCACCTGTGCGCCTCCACGTCCCCTGACACCCTCAAACTCCTCTGTGTTTGAGTAAAGGGGGTATTTTTGTCTCCCCCTCACCCCGTCTCCTAGCAACAGCCATGCCATGTCGTCGCAGAGACAGAGGTGATGATGTCACCGCAGATCAGAGACGACGCACACACTCCGAATATGCAACAGGACGGGAAGAGCCGGGTCATTATTTATTCAAACTTGTTCGTTGCACAAGTTAGACCTTTGGCCGAGCGGAGGTACTGATATATAACATGAATTTGTGACAAGCGAGTACACACGCATCAGTGCTGCTAAAACAGGTGTTCAGGGGTGCGTGAGCGAGAGGTGTCGAACCTGGAATACATGAAACAATGGGGGCAACAATGCTCCAATGGTCCTGCAATCACTTAACTCACAAGTACAAGTTGGAAAACACAGTTGTTATGAAGTTGGTTTTCTGTCTACTGACTGGATACATATCAAACAGATTTTAGTTTTTTAATACAAAAGGGTTTGTTGTAGACAGTTTATGAATACAGTTCTAGTTAAAATGCTAATCACAACAGCCCTTCACATCCCAAATATCCACCGACTAAACAGATTTATACATTTGACATAGATGAAAGACTAGCTTGTTAATACAAATGCATGCATGTTTCATTGAACCTATGGGTAACTTTTTAACCTAAAAGGGACTAAAATAACAGTATTTTGTTTTTCCCGTTATCTATGTTTTTATGGCACTAAAACCATAAAATGCTTCCTTACTGCAAGTCTGCATCGCCACGGTCCTGACTTGAGGAAATGTTCAGTTTTACAGTTTGTTATTAAATGTATATCTTGATGAAGAATGTCTGAGTATGGGTTTAACTTTCTATGGAATCATAAAGGTGATGCCCTAAAGGTTCCCCATTAATACTTAAACATTTTACTTGTGTGTTTTACAGATGCAAACCACTGGCACTGATAAGTCCCAGTGGACGACCAGTTCTGAAGGAGGCCAACTTCTTGCTGTTATCCAGGAACTCTCCCAGTCTGACAGGTGAGTTCTTCTCCACATCCAAAGGGACAAATATTATGTTAACCTTGGCTTCAAAATGTCGCCAATTACTTTGAATTAAAAATGACAGCAAGTGGTGTCAACCTCGACATGAATGCACTGAATATTTTACCCTCATGGATGAGGGATCTGGATGGCCATCATACTCGTGTCATAAATGAACAGCTTGCTGTAAATATTCAATAAATTTAATCTTGAAATAAAGGTTTCCTTTAAAATAACTGACGCTGTTTATCAAAAAGTGACAGATTAATGTAATCCTTTAAAACACTAATGTAAGGATTCTCAAACTTTTCCGTAAGAGCCCCATATTATAGATGAAAGTAACTCATGTCCCTCACTGCTAATAAGAAGTAAAGAAGGAGAAGCGCCAAACATGCTATAGCCAGTGTAGTTTGTCATAATTTAACTTAAATTAGTGTGTTTTGTGTCAATTATTGGGGGAGATTTTTAGAAAACTTTTAGTTTACAATCTTGTGCCTGCCAATTTGAGAACCACTGCTCTAATCCCATCAGAACGTTGTCGTCAGTGGTCATGTAGAGAAGTGTATGGACAGTATTTTTATTTGAGTGAATTAAAAAACAGTACTATCTGAAAGTCTGTGGGTGTATCCTGCACAGAGGAAGTTTCAAATAAGGCCGCACATCCCTGTAGTTTGAGCTAGCGTGCTGGATTTAAAAAAATGTAAGACGTAAAAAGCTCCCAATAAGTGTATTTTATTTACACACGTTACGTTTAACGTTTTTTGGTGTGTAAATAAAATACACTTATTGGGAGCTACATAGCTGTGTGGATTTTTTTCGCTTTGTTTGTATCCTGCAGAGGCCCAGGGTCACACCAAACATCTTCTTTTCAATGTTTTTTTGTCTATGAGAACCAACTTTGTATTTGTCTGAGGTGTGATATTTCTTGTCTGAAGAGTGCTGCCAACACCTGTATCTCTGCATTTCTCTCTTTGCTTTTGTGTGTTTGAGCCAAGGGTTTTGTTACCGTAGCGACCACGCTTCTCTTTGATCTTCTGATGTACGAGACTGGCGACTTGTCACCCACTCTCTCTCTCTCTCACACACACACACGAAGATGGAGAATAGTATGCTCTCAATCATGCAGCCTGTCAGATCGATAAGAAAGGTGTATTGTTGTCCAGCTTCACATATGCCTTAAACCCTCACACTGTTTTTGTTAGCCTTTGCACCCTCTTCCTCCCCTTTTAGAGTGAGTTTTTCCCTACTTCTATTTGCCTGTTTCTCCCCACTGGCTCTCCGGCACTCTGCTCTCTCCGCACTGCACTCAGACGTGGCCTTTGAAGTGGCACACTCCATGGCTCAGCCGCGGTGGAAAAAGGGAGGAAGAAGTAGAAGCAGAGGTTTTAACAGATGAGCGGGGGGAGGCTTTTTTTTTTTTAATTGAGAGGATGAAGCATGATGTCATTCAGTGCTCACCATGACAACCTGAGGAATGCCTTTTTCATAAGTGAGGCACGAATCGGCGGGGGAGGGGCTTGTACTCACCCCTGTACAAAAACAGAGAGGCCCAGACCCCATAGGGCAGCCAAAAACACAACAGAAGCAGCTGAGCGAGAAATAACCTTCCCATCTGGAAAACGCGCCAATGGGAACTAGTTTCTTATATAGGCACGGATTCCAGGTTCAACTCCAGGGGCAGCAAAGATGCTTTATGTGCTGAGTTTGCATGTTCTCCTTGTGTAGAGATGGTTTGAAAGTCTTGAAAATCTTTATTTATTAATGGATGATTACAGTTGACTAGAATTCTGCTGAAGCCTGACTTTAACAACGAAGAGCAATTAAAGCTGGGGTACCTTCTTGTTTCATAAAGTTTTTTGTCCCAACCAGTGGGGGCGGGTCCCGCCTCCAAAAGGTCCATGAGCACGTGTGCTGACATGCTTGCAATCTCACTTTGGGCCGGTGGGGGTGGACCCAGAATAAGAATTACCCAATACCTTTGTATGGCGTCTTCTTTCCTCTCAAAAACGTCTTTACAGGATGGTCCAAAAGTCAGCTCTTGGCCCAAAACTATGTTCCAGATGTGTGTTTTCTGTTGTTGTTGACCAGTCTAGTTTAGCCGCTGTGGACTTCAGAATGCACTCGTGGGGAACTGGGCTCATGCGGGCAACTGCATGCACAAATGTGTTTTTTCACATTATCCTGCCCCACGGCCAGTTTGAAAAAGCTCCATAGAAGGCATAAGAGGTGGCACATTAGTTTAAACAGCGGAGATAGGCGTAACTACGTCCGTTAATATTCACAGTCTATGGTCTCAACAGAAAGTCTAAAAGAAGCAGAATTCTTGGATTGTTGATGTTGATAACAAATACACAGACCACAACACCTGTATCAATCCTATTAGAAACCATTTGATCTTGTGATCAAGCCCTGTGAGTCACTATTTGATGCTTTGGGCTTAGAGATGATTGGCTGAGGGTGCAACTGTTTTTAAACTAGGAACTAGTTGGATGGATTGATTGAACCTAAATGACATACTATCCATTTTCCTTGGCATTGTCGTAGTAGTAGGATACATATTCACTCTTTACTAAGTAAAGAAGAAGAATGGATTCATTTGATTATTTGACGGTGTTATCATCACATGTAACTAAGGCCTTGTTAGAGTATTGTTACCCATATTTGTAGAGCCAACAAAATAGCTTTTTTTGTCATTCCAAGTGTGATTTTCTGTTAAGTCGACAAATCTTCTTCCTTTGTACATTTAGCTTTGTTATTCTATACAAAACTGTGAAATCAATCTATAGTTACATCACACATATGGAATGATTGAAAATATAAATAATTTCTCATTCCTCTGTTTAAACAGTGATGGTTTATAACTCTGCAAACTTTGTGGAGAAACTTATCACAGGTTCAAATTATGCTTTTTAAATCCACACAAACTCTCAAGGATTTCCAAAGCCTCTGGGAGAAGTGTTAATTAGGTTAATTATGTGGATTTTTAATTAACTAAGGCACTGGGTGGGTTCCTGCTGGTCTGGCTCAGAGGCTGTCCCACAGACACCTGCAGCCACGAGTCCAAAGAGGATGGAACAAAGCAGCAAGAAGTATAAATCCACTCAATATGGATTCAAAAGGAATCCCAGATATCAAGGAAAATATATTGGCTGAGATTCAAATGACAATTCAAATACTCAGAAAACTGCATAATTAAAGAGGACGATGTTGTATTTTTAAGCATTCAAATATTTACATGGATTTGTCAGAATTTTACTGCCATATAAATTATTTTCTGACCTTCAAACTTGCCCACAAAGTGGTTTCAACGGAGCCTACACTGATGCTTTCACAAGATACTGATCCTCGAAGTGATTTGTTGAACAGGTCTACTATATACTTCTGGGTAAAAAAATTGTTTCACTTTTATGTTTTGTGGCTTTAATCTTACATTCTAATAAAATTACAATGTTTCTCTTCCAGATGCCATGCGGAGGTGGTGTCACTGGCTGCTGAAATTATTTCTCAAAAGACTAGATAAAAAACTGGATATTTATAATTTACTAAAAATAAAAGACTTGACTATTTTCTGTCTAACGTGGCATGTAAATTATTTGTTTCACTCCTAGTGGTAGAGTAAAAAGCACAGCCTTTTTAAAGATTGCCCCTGCAGCTACACGAGGCCTCGATTTAATTTGTCATCTACTCAGAACGTGTCCAAATAATCAAGCTCACTTAAACCAGTAGTGCCCAAAAATCTGACCAAATGACTTAGTGCTGCGTTAAATGAGACGACGGCAATACTGTAATGTGAAATGACAGTCCGTTTTATTGTTTAATACAGCAGGCTACAGCAACCAGCTCCTCCCAAACCTTCCCACAGTAACAGCAGCACTGTCAGCTACACCCCTTTGGAACAGCAGAGACACATTAGTGTCCACCTTAAAGCAAGAAAATAGCTTCATATTTTGGACCATGATTTCCAATTCATGTTTTTTTGTTTTATACAAAAGCTACACAATGTTACACGTCATCAGAATACAATTCAAATGATTAATTTGTGTTGGACACCATTCAAAATGTGTTCAGATTTACTTTGATGGAGCGTTAAAAAAAATAAAGGACAACAAAATAAGCAAAAAGGATAAAAATGTAAAGCAAGCCAAGTAAAAACATGTACCTTACATAAAACTGGTGAAGTAAAACCAATGGTAAAAACAATTACAGGATAATGCAAAAATCAAAACAAACGAACTCCTCAAAATCAGCCCAGTCAGGCTGAGCGCAGAACCGCACTTTTAATACTTTGTCCCAATGGAGTCCCCATGGAAAGGAAACAGCCGTTATGAGTTTTCTTCAGGCACTTTCTGAAACCCCGCCTCCTCCTTCTGGGCAAATCACGATGCAGGTTCATCCAGATCACATGATACAGCTGCAACAGAACAAAGGCATTAGAACCAACAGGAATGGGTCGCACACATGGATCAAAGAACATCACAAAATCCACAACATGCACTTTGCTTTTAATTACAATGTTGCAGTCTCAACATGCAGACGCCAACAAGTCTATAATCACGACTGCCCTCTTAACCGTTAGTACAACCAGAAGCAGGTTATGTCCTTACCTAGTAGAAAGTGTAGTGTAATGTTGCTCTTTTATTTACAGGTCTGTATCGAACCAGGCCAGTTGGTTGGAGTCACCAGGAGGCAGGCCCTCAATCAGTTCTTGGGCATGTCCCAGATCAGGTAGTCCCTCTACGGGAGGGTAGTCCTGGCCGGGGTGGTGTCCCAGATCATGGTCCATCATAGGCTCCATGCCCATAGTGTCCGCACCATAACCCCCAGCATGGAAAGCACGGTAGCTTGGGTCTGATTTGGGGAAAAGTGAGAGGAGAGGCAGGGGAAGCAGAGCAGTGGTTAGAGCATGTTAACAACCCAAGCGTCACACAGTAGTACGATCACAGCATCACCACAGCAACACAGCACACGTCCATCCTCCAAAGTCTATCTCAAACTAGTATGTCTCCAGTGACAAATTAATCCTAACAAAAACCAACTGATGTAGAGGCTGAGTGACTAGTCTACAGCTATGAGCCAATTACTTTGACAGGGAAAGAGTGGTGCAAATTCAGAGTATGGACTGCTCTTGGACACAGATGGTAAAAAGTTAACTCGAAGCAGCTGCAGTGATCTACACTGACAGACTGGATTTAGCCATCTCACAACAGTCTCAAGTTACTATTCTAAACACTAGCTACAACAGCGACAGTGGACAGATGGAGGGGCACAGGAAGGCTCCACAATGAAACAACGGCACAGCTTCATGAGGGCAGCAGACTTGTTTATCTGATCTCCGCTCTCAGCTGCTCATGAGTTTCTCTTGGGAGCCTTGAAGCAAGAGGTGAAGAGGTGACTTACCTTCAGGTCTGTAGCCCAGCGGCTCTCCCTGAGCACCGATGTCCAGGCCCAGGTCTCCAGTCTGTGGAGGACAGCACAAAGGATTTAGAGCCTGTGTCTGCATCATTTTCTCATTACAGCTTTATTATTGCACAGTAACACACCTCGTTCCAGGCCATTGGCTCAGTCCTGAAAAGTGAACTTGTGAGTTCTACTGAAAGACGTTTCTTGTAGTCCTGGGGTTTGTCCTCGGACATACGGAACAATACAGCGGCGGCGTATGTGGCTGTGGAGACATTAAGTACTTGAGTTGAAATGCACTTTTACAACACATCAATGAGTTATTCTTGTAGATTGACTTCGTACCAACTCCTTCGTTGCGGCTGTGCAGCAGCTCTGTCAGTGGAGCTGTGGCTCCCTCAGCCTCAATGGCCTCTGCTGCTTCTTTGTCCTGGGCCAGCTCACACAGCACTCCAGCGGCCACACGCTGGATGTTCTCAATAGGAGAGTACAGGAGCTGCACAAATAAAAAAAAGATCTTGAGCAAAATTTCAAAGTGACAGCTTTTACCGCCTAGAGACTAGATCTAAATATAGTGCCATAAAATTAGCCCCTTAAGAGTCTTTACCTGAACAAAAAGAGGGATGGTGTTTAGTCCTCGGATGACTATTCTGTTGTGGATGTCCCGGGCCAGAATGTGCAGAGCCCCTGTGCAGCCTTCCACAATCTCCTCCATACGAACTCCCTCCTGCGCACATCATTTAACATCTGTTAAACATCTTAAAAGATCTCACTTGCACGCGCCTAAACACACGCATGCGCCTTACCACAAACTGCTGCTGTGTGCCGCCCATGCTGGTGCGTCTCTGTGTGTCCTGGTGTGCTCGGACCAGCAGCTGAACCAGTCTGGGGATGGCGCCCTGTTCCCTCAGAGGGGCATGGTTAGCAGGACACAGGGCCAGATTACGGATCAATCCCACTGTGGCCTGTATGATGAGAATAGACGAGGTGAACGGCCTGACCAGAGTAAACTATTCTGTATGCTGTAGTGTGACAAGTGTGCACCTTAATGAGAGGCCAGTGAGATGGAGGGTGTAGTAGCTTAACTACAACAGGCAGACCGTAATGCAGTCTGACAGCGTTCTGGGCCATCTCTGCCTCCTGATGTCGCGACGTCAGATGACGCAGCGCACAAATAGCTGGTTCTGTGATGTCCTCCCGGTCACCAGCCCGCAACACTGTGCGAACCAATGCTTCAATTCCTCCAACCTACAAAAGAATATGTCAAAATACATATACCGCCGATTCCGATTTACAAATAGTCCATTTATTTCAGTTGTACCTGGCAGACCATCATCTTGTTTTTATAGTTGTTGCAGGTCAAGTTAGACAAGATACCAGCAGCACAGGTCACAACATTTATATCGTCACTTCCCAGTAACTGGACCAGAGTCCCAAGGAGACCCTCCATTCCCTCCTATGGACATACAAGTCAGCTTAATTTCAAGTAAGAAATTGTACAAACGTACAAAAATAAAATAAAAAAAACACTCACTTGTTTGGTGGCAGCGTCAGACAAGTTCCTGAGGGTCCAGAGACAATTCTGGACCAGTCTCTGGCTGGGATCCGTTAAGTGCAGACCCAAAGCCTGCATGCCTCCTGTACACAAGCAGGATAGTTAAATCTATACCCATGACCCCTTAAAAAAACTAGTTTGGTTAAAGGTCTTTACCAGCTTCTACAATGGCTGGTTTGTTACTGGAGCACACCGACAGCACTTTGAGCACCCTGCTGGTGGTCCACAGCAGCTTCTCGTAAGTGTATGTTCTCATGATGTTGACTAGCGCCTGGGGGCCTCCACTGGCCAGGATTATCAACTGTAAAAACAGCAAAGGTGTGAGACAAGAAATGTACAGTCTTCTGGCTCTAAGCTAACAAAACAAAATAAGATACCTTGCTTTCCTGGTTTCCATAAGCCAGAATCTGCAGACAGTCTGTGGTAATGGCCAAGAATTTGACATTTGTTTTGTTGAGCAGAGCCACCATTTTCTGGAGCCCTCCAGCTAGCCGAACAGCCATCTTAGCTCCCTCTTGGTGCAGAAGTAGGTTGTGAAGGGTAGTAATGGCATAGAACAGGACAGAATCCACTGGGGACCTGCAATAAACACAGAGGCTTAGTATAATAGTGACCCAGAACTGAATAAAGCTTGTTAAATACACCACATGCAATTTTAACCATGGCTCATGCAGCCTTCACTCTACAAGTACATACCCCAGCATCTTAACTAGCGCTGGAATTCCTCCAGATTTGAAGATTGCCAGCAGCCCCTCTCTGTGGTGGGACAGGTTGTGGAGGGTTCCTGCAGTGCAGCGAGCAGTCTCCACATCATTTGTGTTCTGCATGGTCCTGACAATGGCAGAGACCATCTGAGGGGAGCGCATGATGGCATGCCGCGAAGCCTCTTTCTTTGAAAGCTGGTGGACCATTACTGCTGCCTTGTTTACAACCACCTATGACAGACCACAGTAAAGTCAAGTCTCACTCATACACAATTATTAAAAGCAGTGCCAAAAAGCACCTACCTGGTCCTCGTCGTTGAGCAGTTTGGTCAGCTCCGGAATGGCTCTAGTGGCCAGCTCTGCGTCATCCTGGTAGTTTATCAGATTTACCACGGCGTGTTTTAACATCTGCGAGGGCTCTGCCAACCTCTGCACGTTTGTGGGGTTGGCTGTGTCATATTGTGTTGAGGGGATCTGCATGCCTTCATCCAGCGTCTCTGGGAACATAGCTGCACGCACTCTCTGTGCCCGCGTCATGGCATACTGCCCATCAATGTCTGCAGATATACAAGAATTGTCACATGCAATGCAAAAAGACCATTTACTGAACCAAAATGTTCTGCAAAGCACATTCCTACCTTGTACTTGATCCTGGGAGAAGTTCTGGTTGAAGCCCTGCTCCCACTCGTACATGACCTGATTGTCCACATCCTCCTCATCAGGGTTTCCCTTGCCACTCAGAGAGGGCGCTGTGGTGGTGGCTCCTGAGTGGATGCCAGAGTCCAGGTACGATTGTTGCTGCCAATGACTGACTGCAGCTTTCCGGTCCGGCTCCATGGCCATGTCCAGCTCCATCAGATCAGCTACACAACATTATTCACTTTTAGAACACACCCACATAGTACTGATGTGCTACAGCTAAACAAGTGGTATGGGATATATTAGCCAAATATGATGCCTGTGTGAATGGTGTGTAATGTAATGTGTTCATAATATGTTAAGCCAAATCAGTTGTAGACATGTTTTAAAAGCCATTAACATCATGTGCAGGGATAATAAAATTACATTTGAAATACAAGTAACTGACAGAATTAAATTGATCGGAAACATAATGCTCTCAAAAGTTGAAGTACTTGAGATTTCTGAACTTACCCTGGGAAGCCATGTTGCACTCTCAAACCACGGCCTGCACAGCTTCCTGATCTGCAAGTAAACAAACAGTCCAATTTGCTCAGTAAATATTTATGTTGAAATGCAATTATTATCATTGCCTCCCTCCAGTCTGCAACTTTTAGTACAACCAGGTGCCACCGGTGACTTCTGCACAAAGAGCTAAAAACTTTGAAATGTTTGAAACTTCAGAAGCAGTTTTTCCCTAAGCTACGCACAGATCAACAGAGGCCCATACAAAGGCTCCATTAGGCAGCCATTTAGGTGCGGACAGAGGAAGTGGAGGAGCAGGGAGGAGGGCGTAGGCTCCTGCATCAGCTTTGAACTCTGCAGGAGAAATAAACAGAAGCAGTGGCAGAAGAGAGCAAGTCTGCACAGGAAATTATTCAAAACACTGAGGATTAAATAAGGCCAATGCAACCCAAATAACATGTTTTGACATTAATGTACAAAAACACAGTCGTGAAGGAGCTCAGTGGGAAATGTTGGGGAAACTGATAAAACCCAATAGCTCAGAGTCTGTGCTTCAACTCGTCTTAATCAAGCAGGTTTCTACCGCAAGCATTTTGAAATGTACAATTTTTTAATTACATATATTAACAATTATGCCATTTTCCCAATGAATCTCAACGTAATATACCACCCCAGTCATACAAAAACAGACAATGCCAATGTCCACCCAGAAAAAAAACTCTTATTTTTCCTTACCAAATACTAATACTTTGGCCCGTATGTGTGCTTTACACATACGGGACCACTCGTCTTTCACCAGACTGACTGAAGCCGTGTCATTAAAACGTACTCTGACTCAGGGCCAGTGACTGCTGCTTCTAACCACAAGCAGACTCAAATTCAACATTCACACGCTATGCCGGGCCTCTGCATTCTACCCCTGTATCACCCAGTCCTAATGGAAGCCAGATGTCGACACAGACCTTTAAAACACACCATCAAAGCCCTCACATGAGACTGTTGCAGTGGAAACTACATCTGGATCCTATAATAAAAGCAGAGAGTAGACCAGCAAACAATAAGACATTAATGCAACTTTGGGCTAAATTTTGGCAACAGTTCAAGTACTTTGGGCTGTAATTAGCTGCCACAATTTTCAGTCGTTTTCAGAGACACACAACCTGAATCTGTGCACTGACAGAGTAAACCGCTGCAAAGACGCCAAAACCTCGCCTTTCACATCACGCCACTACAGCACATCTATAACAGACCTCAATGGGCTCTTATTATCGGCAGGAGCAGAGGCAGTGCTGGCAGGGCAATGTGCAGGGTCAGCAACACTACAATGAGGCGAGTCTACTGCTGCTGCCCCCAAACTGTGCAATGTGTCGCCTGCAAGATGCTACACCTCAAGACACAAACCGCAGATCAAGAACCCAAGTTGATGTATATTCGAGGCATGCAACGGAATTAATTGCGAAATAGCGGACAAGTGGGTGATTTTTATCAGTGTCAGATGGAGCCTACACCCACGCTTCCGTCTCTGAACTAAAACATTTTCGTATTGAAGATGGGAGAATCTCACGCTCGGCAGCTCCTTCATTTACTTCACGGTGTTTGTGTAATGTGCTTATATCTGCTCTCCAAATGGCACGCTCTTGGTAAACCAAAGCATAAATCGATAATGCAGATGATTGGAATACTATTTAATGACACGGCCTATTTGATCATCACCAACATTTAGCAAAGTCAATTTGAAGCACAAAAGTCCCTCATACGGAGCCCCCCCGTCTCCGCACAGCTGCTCTGACTTTCCTAAACACTGAATCAAATTTCACTCCTGGCTCCTCCTCGTCTTCCTCCAAAACCTCCACGGCTCCGAGGAATTTGTCGGGCTTTGTTCGAAAGACAAAAACACCACTTTCGTAAAAGCAGAAACGCAAAAGCCCCGGATAATAAAGATTAAACAATGTAACCATCCAATAACATCCAGGTTGAGGTTTGATTACTTTTCGTAAATTAATCGCGCTGAAGTTTCAACACAACTTTCGATAAACTAGTGCGTCGCGCTAACAAGCTATCGCCAGCACATTAGATGCTAATTAAAACTAAGTTTACCTTTCACAAAAACACTGATGACTGATAACGTATAACGCTTTAAATTCAGACGAAAAAGTTTAAACTAAACGGCACAAGGTGAAATTGCTGTCAAGCTAACGTGAGTCACAACAGAGGAATGTAGCCAAGAGCAAAAGTGTTCTAATAATTAGATAAGTGGTTAAACGTGAGCAACATGGGTTTATGCGGTGTTTGTTCTTATATGAAGAGCCACGAGGTTGAGATCAACAAATCAACGTGAAAATTAATCTGATCGCAACCAAAATAAGACAAAATGTCGACTACTCATGTAACGAACGCATACATATGGTCCCACTAATGTGGACATGGGTTAAATAAACACGGTTCCTTTTGGAGGTGGTGGGAATATCCAAAATAAAGCCGTAGAAAGCAGCTGGATTGGCCGCCTCAGCATCACCGGTAGAGCCGCATATCGGAGTCCCGTAAGAAAGACAATACAGCCCAAACTCTGAGTGGCGATGCCTACCCTTGTCAAATCAGCAAATCCGTTCACCCGGGCTCCGAAAAGTAAAAAAACACTCCAAAATAGAACAAATTGGATGTAAAAAGAGGCAGAACGGCTGCGGGAGTCCGGTGCGCCCCCTCTGCACCGGTCTGCGTCTGTCTGAAGGAGTGGAAACTGGTAAATGTAAGATGGCGGCTTCATTATATACACCGCATCACGTCCCTTGTGGCCACATATCCTGCCGCCGGAGTGAAGAAAATAGAATCTACAAACACAACGTAAATGTGTTAAAAGTCTTTACTTGTCCAGTAATACATCTGTATCTATATGTTTTTCAATGTGTGTATTTGAGCTGATTTACAAATAAAAACGGACAACATAATCAGCGCCCCAGCGTGTGGATGAATACACATGTGAAAGAAGTTCCGGCAAAATTAAGGGGGAAAATCCAACCTGTTTATCTCAACTTTAGGTTGCAATATTTTAGGTATATAAGAGTTTTAACAGAAAATTCCAGTGCTTTAACATGATGACGCAACCAAGCGTCTACACGAAGAGCCAATATCCTTACCACATGAGACCAGGTAAAATACAACTAAATACGATGGGTTAATTGATTTCTTTTTGGTCATATTACATTCTCCCATCTTGTAGAGTGAAGTACTTTGTCATTGCGTTTCTGAGTTTTTGATTAGATAATTATTTGCTGTTTCTTCCATAAGATCATATTATATATTTTACTCTAGGATTAATCATTTCTTCTTACCCAATTACGAGTCAGATTCAGTCATTAAAATTACACTGATCCATGGGCAAAGCAAGGTCCTTTAAGTGAATAGTGTGATCTAGCTGGCCTTTATTCTCAGATCACACAGGGCTGGCTGTTAATTTTCAAATGAAATATTTGGCTCTGTAATAGCTCCGTGCTCAAAGAACTATATAAAAAGCTGCATTACAGGCTATGTTTCAGAAAGCATCCAGCTTTTTAGTGGCACCAAAGCTGCCTAAACCACCTAAATGCTTCACATTCGTTACCTGGCTCCACAGGAACAGGCAAACTGTATCAAAGTTTAATTTTATTGAATAACATAGAGGATTACTTTCAAAAGCCAAAGTTCATAATCATCCTGTGAAAGAATGTCCTTATGTACAGTTGAATACAACATTCACTCATACAGGCAGCTGTATGAGTGAAGCCTGCCTCATAGTGTGGTCACATAGAAAATGACAGTGATTATGTGGTTTGGGAGTTTCTGTTTTCAGTGTGAGGTGTGAGATGTGCTGTCATATTGGCCCATAGTGTGTAGCATGATTCATCATACATTTTTTCAAGGGTCAAGGAGTACTGGAAGCGGATACATGCAATAACAAACAAGACGCTTGATGTTTTTAATCATTTAGCCTCATACAACCTTTTATTCTTGCCATGTTATATACTTTACATACATGAACAACACTGAAAACATTTATCAACTATTACCAGTATTAATTAAAAGTGTTCAATGACTGTGAGCAGTGATGAAGGCTTAAAGATGAACAATGTCTATATTTTCAACAGAAGAATATAGTCAAGTAAAGACCTATGAGATAAATCTTACAAACAATTGTCACAACATAAAGAGACAATGTAATATTTGTGCATTATTATACCTACAATACAAAATGCTCTGCAATCTTATCAGTTTTATTTCTTATGTTTGGTTAAGGAAATATCAATCCATGGAGCCTGGTCTTCCCATAATGCACCAGTTCTGTCTGAAATAGCTCTGTGGAGTGCGGCTCAGAGATGACCCTCAGTGGAGCCCACACAGCTCTTGTTCCTGCAGCTGGAGAGGCCTTTCATCTGCGCCACGGTCTCAGGACACTTACCTGCAATTTAGAGATAAAAAAGGTTTGTCAGTAGAATAACACGTTATAGACATGAACACACCAAACTTGAACAATAATTGATGTCTCTGAGTGATTTTGAGCTTATTATTTGTGTTTACGATCTCTAAATCATGGTCATTGTATATATATTTTCTTTTGTTGTTTATTTGGTTGGGACAGTGCATGTTAATGAACACACCTCTCCGGATTGTAGCCATAGAAGAATTTCCAATTGTTCTTCTTTCACAGTCACACTCACAAACACACACTCATTCACCTGAGCTATTTGTACATGTTTTCAGTGATAGTGGAAACCGGAGCACCTGGAGGAAACCTTCCACCATGCCGCCCACAGCTCCCTGAATCTTAGATGAAAAATACTATTTGGGTTGAAATTGCGTTCTTTGCCACCCTCTGCACCTATTTAGGTCATGCAAATGAATAAGTTCATTAAAAGTATGGAAATTAAATATTTTTGGTCTGTTTTTAGAAAAATCATCGACAAGAAATGGACAAAGTGATCAGACCAGCATTGGAAGTAATCTTATAGAAAAGTGAGTTAACTTTTATGAGAACCTTTATTTGTCCCACAGTGGGGAAATTTATTGGAATCTATTGATGTTTATTATCTATTATATATATATATATATATATATATATATATATATATATATATATATATATATATATATATATATATATATATATATATATATTTATATATATATATATATATATATATATATAATACGAAATTGCAGTATTGCACATTGCACATGATTGCAGTATTTACTATTTACAGGTGTACTATTTAAAGATATGAACATTCCTTTTTTTTCACCACAATAAAACATGAACTAAACACAATGTCAATGTGAAGGGACTACATTTTAAATCCCTCACACAATCGTTGACTGCACCCGCTGTGTTGCACCTTTGCTCCGTTGCACATTTGTCAAAACAAACATGCAGCGAGACTGTTGCACTCGTGTAACATTTTGCACAGCGACGAGGCCTGTATGTGTCCTCTGCTCTGCGTGCACTGGGAGGGGCGTGTGATAATACCAGCCACACAATGCACACACAAACAGGAGGCTTTTACTTTCCCTGGGGGTGGAAATTCATAAGGGAAGCACAGGTCAGGTCCGTGCTCGATGCTGATTGGTTGAAATCTGCTCGATAGGTTCAGAGAGGTATGTGTATGTACGCATGCCTTTAAATCTTGTGCACTTCCTGCTCCCCTGTGGATTTTGTTTGGGCTTTTGAGGTAGTGTTCAGTTATATATATACTGTAGTGTGACAGACTGAGCACTGTATATAGTATATAGGCTACGGCAGAAATGGCAGAAATCTCTAATTATACTCAACGTCGACAATTACGCCTAAAGCATCCAAGCATCTCATCGCTTTTTTAACTCGTTTGTGCAAATGTTTATTTTTGAAGAAACATCACTTGATTCAAGGACATAGCACAAAGCAGCTTCTAATTTTGAATATTTATTTTTTAGTTCATATAGAGGGCTGCAAATGCTATACAAAGTCACATCCCAGATGTTTTGAAATCATCATATACTTAAAAAAAAAATCATTATTTACAAATCTTGTTGTTCTGTGTTTTAGACATATGGTTTATATGTCTAAAACTTTGCACATATATAACATTTGACATCCAACATTATTGCGTAGCAACACAACAAGCTAAGAGAAATAAGTGCATATTGTGGTATCTTTACTTGACAACTGTATAGTCAATTTAATCAAAAATAGGTAATATCCCTATAATTTTAGCTATACAAATATGAAACATGATAATACCCAGTTAAATAATATGCAAGTATAATCTTTGAAAAATGTAATTACATTTCCTTAACTTTTTCAGATAGTTTCACCTCAACCTAGACTTTTCAAAGACTGTTTTAGGACATTTCATTGTAGGGCCATTCATCTAGGACCATTTCATCTAGGACCATTACTAGATTTCGCCATTATAATCTCCTTATGGTAAGAAAACATATGTATATATATATTAATATGGTTAATATATAAATTAATTTTGGTCAATACATCACGAACCCATTTGTAGTCTATAGTCTTGAAAAAAGTTAGAGAACTACTTTTTTCAAAAAGAAATGAAAGACAGATGCAAGGGAGTCCGGGGAATCACCTAAAAAACTCCCCTTGGCCTTGAGGATGACTTTAACGCACAGTCCAATGTCAAAATCAAACCTGCCGCTCGTCACAAAGACTCAAATCCCCCTCAGTACGAGTCGGGGCCTGGAGAGGTGTGGTTTCTTTCTCAGGGACTGAAAGAACGGGGCAGGACAGAGCTGAGGATGAGGGCAGCCTAAACAAACAGCCCCCCTCAACTGCCCCACAGACACCCAGGTCACCAGTGTGCTAATGTTTGCTTAGCACTAACACACTCGTGCAGAGGGCTGAGACTTATGGCCCAGAATAAATGTTTTTTTGCACCAAAACACGATGCTATAAATTATACGCCGCTCACCTGATTTTCAATACAAAGTCGTGTTGCCTCATGTTGCAGTATACCTGAGGTTTTCTGTTTACAGCGCATGTGATTATTGCATCATTGCGTAACCTTATCAAATATACCGCTTTTTCAATGACAAAAGCTGGTCAATATTTAAAATCATGGCATACGTCGACCTAGTTATCAAAATTGTTCTCCATAGTTTGACCTTAGACGTATACGTTTATATATACGTCATATATAAATAATACAAAATTAAATATATACGCATTTTAATCATAATCTTGTTCTTATGTGCAACATTTAATATCAATGATGGAATAGTTTGAGCAATTTCAATATTTGCTGCTAGTTATATCAAGTTATTTTGCAGTTTCCACACTAAAGGAGCAACACACTTTATGTTGATACAATCTTTATTATATTCTACAATGGTATTTTTGATCACAATTCTCATGCCCTAAGAATGTCATTCTGCCCCATCCTTTAGTTTATGATTCAGAAAAGCAATGGCCTTCACTTTTCTGAGAGAATGTCTGTATTAGTACATAAAGCATTCACTAATTGCCAAAATTATTATTATTTCTTCTTTGCAAATGAACTTGGAATGTTCAATAATATAATCATAACATAGGTGCCATCTTGTAATCCTTGTTGAGTTGGAAGCAATAGGACACTGCTGGCTCCAGATACTACAGTGGGATTATCAGGATTGTCCAGTATAAGCCGATATAGGAAACAATGTGAGTCAGACCGTAGGAGCTGACATATAGGGGAAACAATATTGGCAAGCTCTCTCCAAAACTCAAGTGGTACAATAATGCATCACAGGAATCCATGT